CTTAATAAAGAAGAGAAGTCCAGCAGGGTTTTGGTCCACAGTGAGAACTGCTGTTTGAACCTTTCCTCGGACAGAATGACTGACAGCACAAAATTAAACCAAATGCCTGGATGTTTGTGTTGGAAAGAAGTGAAATCCCATTTGTTCTGTTTCACAAGGTTGCTTCACTTCAGTCTGACACATGCTTTCTGAATGTGGGACAGTTACAAACGAGCAAAAGCAAAACTTAGGTTTTTGTCATGTCTCTCTTTGGGTCTCAAAGTGTTGACAAAAAGACCAGACACTTATATATAGATACAAACAAAAGTCCTCAACTCCTTCATTTGAGAGATGTCAGCTGTCCATGGCTGTAGGAGATTCAGGGTAACAGACAACTTATTTATATTACTGGAAAGTTAAAAATGAGTGTCTATAGTGTCCAGTTGCATGACACGGCTAAGGACAAGATGCTCATTGCCTGAAAAAAAAACATTGCATATATCACTTTGAGGAATTCATTAAGCTGCCAGAACTGGAGAGAAAGGACAGTGGATAGAGTTGGAATTTCAAGAGAGAGAGAGAGATGGGGCTGAATGGGGCTCGCGAAATAACCCCTTATAACCCCACCGGTGCCTCATCCACAGCCTTCTTAGAATGTTATTTTAGGTTTATCAGCACAACAGTCAGTCCTATAATGTATAAAATTAGTTTCAATTAACAAACAAATTCATTATATAAGTTTTACTGACGGCCAATCTGATATTGGTTTTGCATTAGGCCTGGTTACTCTGAGGTATTTACTTGGAAATTGAACAATTTATTTCACAAACCAATCCCAAAGTCGCATGGCAGCTTTACGACTCCACCAAATGTAGCCTTCTTTTTTGGGACAGCTGATGGTTTTGAGCATAGGCAGGGGGGAGTTTAGATCCATTATGATAGCACAATGGTACAGAGCTAGCTTCAAGCAGTCTTAAAAAGAGTGACATCTCAGCTAAAGTGGCATGCTAAGAGCTGACTATGGTACAGCAAAAACTACTGATTTAATATGTTTAGAATGCAGTCCTGTTTCCTACTCTGGTTCTGACTCAGACTACTCAAACACTCAGTGTTGAGGACAGCAACAGGACAATTTTCAAACAACAATGATGAGAGTAGCCATGAAAATGTCCTTTTTGTTGTCCCTTTTGTAACAATCGTACTATCAACTATCGTAACAATGAAAGCCTGAATTTAATCACTGAGACATAAAGACAACTGGAAAAACTGTTAAAATGTTTCTTTGCATTCTGAGAAATTAAGGTCATCTAATGCTTTACTTTTGGTTTCTAATGGTGTCACTTTTCTAAATAAAATAAAAAAAACTCATACAATTTCAGAACATCTTTTTATTGAACATCAAGTCATGAAATGGGACGGAGGAGGAGGATCCCAAAGGACATTCCTCCTTTTTTTACTTCAATTCTGCTGCACATCAGGTCAACAAAAACTGAACAGTAGGGTTTCTAAAGCTACTTTTTTTAGGCTAAACGAGGGCAGAGGAGGACATGTCTGAGCGTAAGCTATATCATGTGAAGGAGAAAATATGAGCAGAAAAAATAAAAACTTCAACTGATGCAATTTGGTGTTCAGTCTGACAGGATAGATTAACCTGAAGCTGAAGATTAAAGATTTACTCTCTGATGTTGTTCCAGTGCCCTCAGATCTGTTCACAGCCTACTCTTTAATCTCACCTCTGAATGAAAGTGCTCTGACCTGCAGCAGCCCGCAGGTGTATTTGAGTTCAAGTGACCCAGTACAGTGTTAATGATGCCCTGTACAAACCTGTATTCAGTGCACACTCGCCACAGGTCAGAGGTGGGTTGTGGTTGTGTGAAGCAGAGACTAGGTTGACATCCAGAGTCCTGTGATCAGATTTAGACAACAGAAACGTTTTTAAGGACCTTTAATAGACGTAAAAAAATGAAGAAATTTGAATTTTCACATTTGCCTGATTGCAAGACTTGTACACAGCAAACTAGGGCTGGAGTCATGTCTGAAACAAAAAGGCAACTTTTGATCATTACTTCAACCAGCAACATGATGTTTTCATTAAATACTCTTGCAACCTAAATAAACAATGGCGTTTTTATTATGTAATTTAGGGATAATGCATATGATAGCAAATGTTTCAATCCAAACTGAACTTTCCTGATTTGGGGTTTTAATTGAGTGTGGTGATGTGACATTTTCAGAAGAAAAGTCCTGCTTCAGCTTTGTATACCTGTTAGCATCCTCCTTGGGCTACAGTATTGATAGATGCAGACATGAGTAATGAACCTAATTGACTTGTTTCAGGGGCAAGAGTTTAAGAAGAGCTGATGATTTTTTAAGATTGGAAACAGGAGGGCATTCTCTACAATAATTGCACGTTAAAGCTAACTGCTAACTGTGATGAAGATAGCTTAGAGTTTTGTAACTCACAATACAGAGACAGGTTTAAATAAGTAAATCTTTGATGGCTCCTGCTTCCTTCTCTGACTTAAAACCTGATGAGCTCAGACATACTGTTTGTAGCTGCACATCAATTATTATTTTACCATGCATCATCATGCATTTTTTTTAAAGCGTATTTGCAGAGCAGAACTTAATTAGAGGGCAAAATGCTAAACCATGTGTGTGCAAGTTGCTATATTTGAGTCCTTGTATATTACAATCATAAATAGATTAGTATTTAAATAAGATTTGTCTGTTTATTCTGAGGTGTATTTATTATTTAAATGTTTGTAGGTCAACTGTCTTGAAGCAGGATAAGGAGCTTCTTCCTGTCTGCGACTCTGGGTGTGTGTCTGAGTGTGTTCCTGACCTGCTAAGTGATGTCACCGCTCTTCTTAGGAAATCACATCGGAGGAAATGACACAAGGCTTTTCAGAAAAGTTTTCACAAGTAGAAACAGCAATCACATTACAGTGTACTACTCTCACCCGTCTCTCAATAGATCAATCTGGTATCAATCAGAAAAACAGAAAATTGCATTCAACTATTGATGTCGACAAGTGAATAATCTCATTATGACATTTTTTATTGAAGTTATAAATCAATTGAAAAATACATTCACGTTTTAAATACTTTTATGTAATCAGGCTTCCTTTTCGAACCATTAAGTAAAACCCTGCTGGCCATGAGAAAGAATGCAGCTTTGAGGCACCCAGTGAAATGGTTGATTGAGAAATGGAATTTTGTTCACTAAAATTGTGTTTATATACTTAGGTTTTATGTGTGCTTGTTTTTGGACAAATTTAAATGTTGGCATCTACCAACAGCTCCCTCCCTGATGATGTTAGATTATGAGGTTGAGAATCAAGAGAAACCAACTTCATCAGCTGTATTGGAAATTAAAAACCAACCATCAAGATTGTTTTTATTAGGAGGAAGGGCTATCTAGTCGGGCTCACATTTGATTGGTCCAAGATGATGATGATGATGATAAACAGGAAGAGAGATATGTAGGATAAGCGGGATTAACTAGTCTGGTTTCTGTGTTTGCTGACTGATGAATATTGAGTGTGTGTGTGTGTATGAGGAGTCGCTTCAGAAACAAAGGACTGATTGTTAAACATGAAAGTGAAGCTGTTGGTGACACTGTCAGCCAGAGTCCACAGACGGGAAGTATGAGAACAGTCCAACATCAATAGGCAGTGGACCCACACAAACACATCTACACAGACAAGACACACACACACACACACACACACACACACACACACACACACACACACACACACACACACACACACACACGCACACACACACACACACACACACACGCACACACACGGACCAGCAGGGTCGTATACGTGTCAGATAAAGGGGTCTTTAGGTATTTACAAACCAGAACAATGGCCAACACAGAAGCATTTTATAATACAGTATATGTCTGACCGACGAACCGACAGAAACAAACAGGAAGCATAAAACTGCACAGTGTGCAGAAATAACTGACCAGATGTGTCATCATATCATCGGAATTATAGATTGAATTGTTCAACGACTGAAGTATATGTATATACAAATATTGTGTTCATATTGTGAACGTCTTGTAAATAAAACATGTTAAAGTTTCCAAATATGTTTGGGGAATATTCATGCTGGTTTTGTGTTTCTGCATGATGTTTTTTGACACTTTGCTCATGAATTCAAAGCATTAGTTGACTTTGTGTCTATTATCTAAGTTTTCTCGTGTCTTGTGGTGTATGTGTGTATGTGACGTAGCGGTTCTGTGTCTCTATTGTGGTGGTCTTGGGTGACATTAATCTTTTATTGCGTCCTAGAGGAGAAATTCAGGATGCGGCATTTCTATATTTATGATAACTTTGTGTAATGTTTTGATGTTTTGTTATAGTTTTTGGTGGTGTGGTTTCCCTCGGTCCTCTTTTTCAGCTTTGTTGTAGTTTAGTTTCTTTATCTCTCTCTACTACAAAATCCACCTTTTTCTGCATTTACAGCCCACTAACTAAACATAGAATCAAGTTTGACTTAGCCAGGTGATAATTAAGTCTTAATTCTAACAATTACACAAATAGGTCAGATTCTTTAATGGAATCTGTGGAAAAACGTTTGTGTAGAAATTACAAATCATGGTTTTATGGAAGGGCATGTGCTGGAATATTTGATGCAAGATTGATATCAATGTTTTTATCTGTCTGTCAAACAGGAAGGAGACAACAAACAACAACCTAGAATGATCATTTCAGCAGTGTTTTAACACAGTGCTAGTGTGTGTGTATGTGTGCATCTTTGTGTGTGTATGTGTGTGCATGTACTGTGTGTGTGTCTTTTTTTGACTGATTTCTTGCTTAATGGTCTCATCTGTTATCCTGAAAATCTGTGGACATGCTATCACCCAGCATCAGTATCCTGACTGTGTGTGTGTGTGTGTGTGTGTGTGTGTGTGTGTGTGTGTGTGTGTGTGTGTGTGTGTGTGTGTGTGTGTGTGTGTGTGTGTGTGTGTGTGTGTGTGTGTGTGTGTGTGTGTTTTTCAGTAATTGGTGTGCATTCGTGCATCAGCGTATGGTTACCACGGCAGTTGAGTGTGGAAATACAGAGCAGTACACCATCAAGTCTCAGAGTCCGTGTCCAAGCGGGACGCCTGACTGTCAGCTGGTCATGTGAGTACAGTCTTAACTGTAATAAAAGCACTGAAACAACACTGTAAGAGCACTAAATATATATAAATAAACATTATTAATATATCAAATCAGTAATAGTATGTCATTTAAATCATGACATGATAGTTGATTTTGAAACTGGATTAGGAACTTGTTTGTTTTGTAGATAAGTCTAAATGTTGGGCTCATGGCAGGTTTGTTAAACCTACAAATTAAGCAGTCTGACAGTGACTGTGTCAAGTTAAAAGTCACAAGTTTAAGGAACAGTAAACAAAAGGCTACAAACAAACTTGGAAACTGGAACTGTTCATAAAAGCTTAGGACCTCCTGCTGCTCTCATTTATAAACCATGTTGAATATAATTGAGATTTTCCTATTTTTCTTATGTACACTTAATGTGTGTGTGTGTGTGTGTGTGTGTGTGTGTGCACGTGTGGGTGTGCGTGTGCGTGTGCGTGTGTGCAGGTATAAACTGGCCACCCGGCCTGTTTACAGGCAGAAGAAGCAGTTCTTCACCGCTCTGTTGTGGCGCTGCTGTCCAGGACACAGAGGACCCAAATGTGAGGACACAGGTGGGTGAGCAGATGTACCTGTGTAACTACGGCAACAGGCTTGATGGATGGATGGATGGATGGATCTGAGGAGCTCTCAGGGCCTTTTTGAGGAAGGCTCTTTTTTTTCAGTTTCGTTAGTTCAGAAACTAAAAACTTTGGACGGGCTGTGATCAGGACCAGTTCAGACTACTTTCAGGATAGTAAACAAACCAAACTTTCCTCTCATTCACTTGGTTATATTTTGTCTCTACTGGAGTCTAATTTTAAACATCCTTTTTACAAAAAGAATTGGTATCTCTCAGGCGCTTAATTTACTACAGATTGGCTGTGTGTGTGCCTGTTGTGTGTGTGGGAACCTGCAGTGTTTACCAGATGTCTGACAAAGGATGTCCTCTTTTCTATTCTCAGTGTTTCTCTATTTGGCTGCACTGAAAGTCAAAGTTTATCAGCGTGGGAAAAAATGAGTTCCCTAGGCCCTTACCGACAGTCACAGAGGAAAATCCTACATTTCTACAATCAGAGATGTTGACTGAGTATGACCGCAAGTTTCCTGTCTGTTTGAGCTGGCTGTGTTTGTCTCTTGCAGAATATAATGCACAGCTGGATTCTGGAGACTTGGATCCAACTGAAGGATATGAAAGAGCAGAGGACCGCACTCTAGGTATGTTGACCATTTTTATCAACTCCACACAGGTGTTTAGATTTGCAACACAAACAAAGGTTATACTAATATTGAAATATCAGGAAATAGACTAGAATAAAGCAATACATGGAAATGTGTTAGCATGCTCACAGTCTACAGCAAGTCTGCTGTGAACATGTTAAACATAACACCTGCAACATCAGCATGTTAGCAATGTCATGCTTTTTAGCATTTAAGAATTAAGCAGCCTCACAGAGCTGCAGACGGTTGGTCTGTTCCTGTTGACTCCTCTAACTTTTTGATTACATAACACAGAATCATTGAGGCCAGGTAGATTCATCCTCTGGGGGCACGAAGTTATAGTCATTTCATCTGTTGGAGCCAAAACAGTTTTGTTTGTTTTTCATTTTATCTTTGTATAAGAGACAATGTAACACAATGGGATAAGCATTCATAAATGTAGTTCTAGCATAGACATCCAAGGTTCAAGGTTATTGCATTCAGGTGTGAGGGAAGCAAACAAGTCTTCAAATGTATCAGTGTTTTGGACAACTGTGAGTTTATCAGTTTTAGTTTTATTTTGTATTTGAGTCAATGAAACACGATTATTGTGTCAATCAATCATTTTCATCATTCAATCATTATTTAAGCAGGCCGTGCATGAATGAGGATGCTGTGGTTGAGTGTGATGGTGGTGGTTGTGGGACAATACTCCAATGGTGGTGGCTGGGCGTCAGGGACGTCAGGTGGTGGTAGTGCCAGATCACCTCGCTGAAGGTTGGGGGAGCTCCATCTACTTGAGCTCCCAGAAAAATATGTGGTTAGTAACTAAGATAAAAATAAACAAATATTATTTTCCAAACTTGTGGTGCGTGTTGGACATTGGATTGTTGCTTCACTTAAACATGCATCAAAACTACATGCAATTCACCACCTACTTTAAATAAATATTATGTTTACTGAAATTAAGTCTCTACAATTTTGGTCAAATAGCTGTTTGCCCTCATTCAGATACTTGCCTCCAATTAGCCTTGGCTTTATTTCCACTGCAAGCCAAGGCTCCTCCGGGTGTTCAGTTTCTGCTTAATACAAAAACAAAAACTTAACAACAAATAAAACGTTTTGCTCCAACTCCATCTGTTATGTTGTCTTTAGTGGGGTGGATTACACAACAAGCCTTATTTTCCATGTTGAGAGCAGCATCAGAGAGACTCTTGAGTACAGGAAGGGTTGACTTTATTTACAGGGTCAGATAATAAATACATGGAGGGTGATTTAACTTCAGGGTGGGCAAAGTCCAAAGAAACAAATCTGACAAGGAAGATGAAAAACATAACTCGAGAAAATCAAAGAAGTTATATGTTTATAACCAATTACCCCAAACAAGAGGAAATGAGGTAAACAAAAAGCAGCAGCCAACCCTGTCACCTTCAGACGAACAAAAGTCATCATCACAGCACATTTGTGATCAAAGTGAGGATGCTAGTGTAGCCGACTGGAAGAGAGTGTAGATGACTGTTAAATGTGAGCCGGGCTGTTGCTTTAGTAACTTTGTAATGGGCTAACCCTGGCACACATCTCTTTACACAAACACTGAGGCACTATTACTTCAATGTAAAGAAACTCATAATAAGACTGTGAATCTTATTAATAAGGCCAACTTTCATGAACTACTCTTTTGGTATTTGTATTTTAAAACCTCAACACATTCAAAAAGGAAATCTGAAAACCTGACCCCAAATAATGAATTACTTTAGTTTTTGGCTATTTGGCTCAATGGTTGTCTTTTTGTTCTTCTGGGTTAGCTTGCTGAACAAGGGTCTGATGCTGAGGACTAATTCTTGGTCTCAGTAGGTGTGCAGGCAAAGAGCTTTACCTGGCTGTCATGCACAACTGCACATGCACAATACAGAGGCAGGACTTTGGATTGACTGAAGCTAGCATATAGTTTAAACCTGTTCAAACAGTTTTTTTTTTTTTACTTGAATCTAATCAAACTGAATCACATTTGCAACAAAAAATGAGCAGGGTTTTGTAAAATTGTTCTCAAAAAGGACCAAAGTATACAGGTAAATTGATGGTATATGGTGTTGGTGTTTCATTGTCTGCACACAGCAGTTTCCTGGAGCTCAATGTAACTTCAGAATGTGATACTCATTGTGCTCGTAAAATGTGATGATGGAGCTGTGACCCCAGTCAAGCTTCAAACTTCATGTTTGACACATAGGAATCAAATATCCATCTGTCTTCCTCCTTTGTTTTCTTAAATCTCTGCTTCTGAGCCTGGGCACAGACACACACATGTTGTGTTTCCATCACTTCATAGGACATTACATTGACTTGAATGAATTTCCTGAAGGGTTAACACTTACCTTAATGCTTAAAACTGGATATTTGGAAGCCAAATGTGTCCACTGTCCCAACTCTGAGTTATGCTTAGTGAGACCAGACATGTCTCCTTTTACAGCTAAACGTTTCTCTAATCTGTTTCTAAAAAGTATTTTACTATATTCAGGAGTAATCAGCCCTATCTAGCCCTCTGAAAGTGGGATCTAAATTTCATGAGCCTGTTGCATTGCAATGAATAAAGTTGGTTGGATAAAGTAGAGGTTGAGTTGTGTATGTGTAATGTTTGAATTTAGAAACAGCGCTGAGATGGTCTACTCACCACAATGCTTGATTGTCTACTCACCATGCCCAGTCTGTTGACTCCTTAAACAGCATGTGCTCAATATTTTGTCTTAAGGTAAGCACTGTGCCTTTGACCCCAAGTTAAATCCTTTTACCAAGTCCCGAGAGATGTAATGATTTTTTTATGGGGCTTTCTAAAAGCAAGGGGAATCCCCACAAAACGAGTAATACATGTCCACACACAAACCTGACCTCCAGCCTCTAAATATGAATATGTCAGAGCGCTCTGACTCATTCTTGCTTCTTTAACAAAGTAAGGAAGCTATGAGGCTCAGCATTGATAAACCTTCAGCTCAGGTCAGGAGGAGGTCCAGCCTCCCTCCACCACCCTCCCCGATGGGAAGAGGGTGTGGGCCAGTTGCTCCTCTGGGACCCACCACCAAGGTCAACCACCCCCCATATCCTCAGCCTGTAAACACAGTGACTCACTCACACAGTGGAGAAGGGGAAGTACGTCATGGTCCTAATGAAGATTGGTCATCAGCCAACACAGATATGCTGTTCGAGGAGGTCAGAGCAGCATGGTGGTAGATGAATCTGATCTAACTGTGACCTGATGAATTAAAGGTTCTGATTTGTGTTAGGGTTCTGTTTGTTTTAACTTTAACCCTGGGTGGTTGGCCCTCAGGTGGGAGCTTGATGACCACTTTGTGATCATGTGTTGTGGTCCTGGTGAAGGATGTTTCAGATGTAAAGAGGTGGATAAACAGTGTTTGGACCTCTCTCTACTAAAGGACAGCATTTGTGTATGACCTTCTACTGAGCGCTTCATCCTGATTGTCACGCTGCTCCAGACATGTAACAACATGAATCGCAGAATGTTAAACTTCCTACCATAACTGTGCTGGATAGCAGCAACCTGCTGTTTGTTTGGTTCTGTTAAACTTTGGCTTCTAAGATATCAACCAAATCAGCCTAAACAGAAAAGTAGTTGGCCTAATAAGGAGTAAACTTGAGGTGCCTGGTTAAGGGACCTCAGTTAATACATGTATCACATCCATCAAACTTTGACTTCCAGCACACATTTGGTTGGTTTGCAGCCAAGTTAAGCCGTCAGGATGAGAGTCAGTACCTCCAAGAAAGAGGTATTTGCGCTTTACTGAAATGCAGTGAGGGAAAAATGGATTGTTAGATGCTCAGTTGGATTACTGCAGAGTTGGGTGTGTTGCAGACATCGTGATGAAGAGGGACATGAGCCAGAAGAAAATATTGTCAATTTACCAGCCAAATCTGCTTTACAGTCCGTGCCCTTTGAAATGAAGTTTATGTACTGAGTAAATGAACAGAATCGTGTTTGCAAGTCTGGTTGGACTCTCTACTAATTCTTCCCATTGAATGGAGCCATCTGAGATGGTTTGGGCAACTGAAAATGATTTCTGCTGGTGAATTCCTTTTGAGTTTTTCCAGGCATGTCCAACTGGGAGAGGACACCAAGGTAGACCCAGAGCTTATATATCCAACCTGGCCTGAAAGACCTCATGACATCCCAGAATGAGCTGGAAAATGATGCCTTGGAGAGGAGTGTCTGGACTATTTAACCTGCTACTATGGTGATCTGGCCCCTGGATAAGCAGAAGAAAATATATTGAAAGATGCACCGATGGAGGAGTGGACTTTCCTGGGTGTTACTGAGAGAGCCTTCTGCAAGACTATCTTTAATGAGGCTGTTTTCAGAGAGATGCTACAAGCTCATTAAGGCAGCTCAATTACTGGGGGAGGAGCTAAGCTGGATTCTGAACATGAAGAGGATGCTGTCCAAGTTAAGCCAGGCATACATTGTGCAATTTCAGGCCAATTATGACCTCATTTTTTAGTTGTGTAATTGATTTTGAAGTGGGGCCAAATCTCAGCCCGACGTGCCTAGTTTGTCGTGCACTGTGCAGCTGGGGACAATGGTCAATCAAGGCCCAATCTGCTGCTCCAGAATGGTTGAATGAATTTGTGTAAATTTGGTCATATGACTGCATACACTCGTACAGTGAGAGCAGAGCCAAGAACCTATTCCCCAACTTCAGGCCTTTGTTGTTTACTGTTTCTGCCTGCACAAAGTGACAGACAGCATCTGAAAGCACCATGGCAACGGTAGGCATGCCTGTCTGATGTGTCTTCCCTCTTCTATTGTGGAAGAAATGAACGAGAGAAAGGGGTGGCTGGAAATAGCTACTGACCTCTGGCTGCAATAATGGAACTTGTAAGTTACCTTGTGTTTGTTGGGGATGATGAGTGTGTGTACGTGTGAGAGAGCGAGAGCATGTTTGACAGTGTTTGTATTTAGCTGGGCATATGAGACAACTTAATACACAAAGGAAACTTTAATCAAAAATGTAAAAGAGATAGCCAAGTCTTTGGAACTCATTGCTGTATTGCAGTGTGGACATCGGCTGACTATACCTGGATTTAATTGTTACATATTCTGTCAATTCTGGCACTATTTTTTACAATTCATTGAGCAGATGCTTTTATCCAAAGCGACAAACATCAGAGAGTAAGAAAAACGCAAGCAAGAATCTAGAGAGGAGGAAACATAGTCAGTAAGTCCTAAAAAACACCTTTAAGTCCGATCAAACACAGGTGCTGACAGGTAGTGCACAGAGTCAGAGCTTTTAAAAAAAATGTATTCAAGTTAATTTATCGTCATCAACATCGACAGATGTTCTTGAGAGTTCAAATCAGCATCACAACCAGCTTATATATTGTCACTGTCATCATCAAATTCATCATCATCATTGATAATGATGTTGATGACGACTTTGTATCCCTTTGATATTTCATACCATAAAGCGATTAGAAAACGTGTTACTCATGCTTAAAAAACACATTTACTTTTATGTTTTGGCTTTCTTTAACACTGCTAAGGTCAGTAGAGACAGAAGAGTCAATCTCAGCTACAGAGAAGTTCTTCAGTACTACAGGAAACATACAGAGTACATAACATGAACAATTTAACCACTGGCACTGAGAACACTGTGAATCAAAACAGTAGGTGTTTTGAGTGGATATCAGACTAAAATAGACCTCTGGCCTTTAGAGGTTTGATCTAACAAAGGAAGAAAAACAAAGAGGCATTTAGAAACACACACACCTCGACATGGTACAGTTCGCTCCCACCACGCCTCTGATTGAACCTACTTCCTGAAAGCTCAAGCCAATGCAATTAAATCATGAAAACAGAAGAAACTGACTGGACACAATAACAGGAACACCGTAAAATACAACTTGAACACCTCAGGGGTGAGTCATCCCCTCTATAACACAATTGAACATAATTATTTGGAGGTTCATCAGTACCAAAGGCAGCCAACACTTACCCAACAATCACCAACACAACCAACAGTCATGTAAACATTGTCATCTGACATTATACAAATATTTAAACATCAAAGAAGTAGCCTTTGTTTAGGGTCCTTCACTGTTACTGTCTTCTCTCCCAGCAGCAGACAATGATTTTGAGACTGAACATACGCAGAAGACTTGTCAAGAATGGAGCTACGTGAAACATGAGCAGGCTTAGCCCACTTGATAGTTTGAGTTCATTCTATGGGAAACATAAATGTCCTAACCACCTTCTTTGCAGATATATCAGTTCTTCACATTTTTAAGAGAAGTGCAAGGTTTCTAACATCTTTGTGATTGAAAACCCTTAACGGAAACCATCACAATATCATGATAACATAAGTCTGTGCCAAAAATGTTTTCACCCATGAGATCTGATGACACTGCAGGACTTCCTCCGCTTCTTGTTGCAGATGCAGCTCTGATGTGCTTCTGCGCTGACTGCAGGTCACTGATACGGAGCTCCTTTTTCCTGCTGTCGCTCCGATTCTGTCACTCACTGAGAGTTAAACAATAAACTCAGAGCGGAACAAAAACTGAGGAAACACTGCAACAAGATTCCCAAATACATCAGCCTGTTTCCCATCAGCATCTCTGTCTCACTCTCTACCTGTTTATTTAACTTCCACTGCTCTCTGTCTGATGAAGCTTTTATTGGCTGGACCAAAAAACTGTTCTTAAAGCATAAACACAGGAAAGTGTCGATAAATAGATAAAACAGTTACACAGGTTTATATGAAGATAGCTAAAGTTGCACATTGAAGAACATTTAGTATTATGATTATAGCTTTCTTAGTTGATGGTCAGAAATAAGTGGAGACACCTGAAAACTCTTCAACACAACTGTTAACAGAGTTGATCACCATTGTGACTCTCACTGCTCCAGAGCAGGTTATGTTAGAGAAAGCCTGTACAAAGCACCACCAATACTGACCAATCAATTCTCTTGATGCAAATGTCCCTGAGCTTTGTGCAGCAGATTATGTTCGAGAAGGAGAGCCAGAGTGCCAAGAGATTAACAACACACTCTGGCTCTGATTTCATATTTGGCTCTATTTTGTAAATATGCCACACTGCTGACAACAGTTTTGTCTATATTTTTGATTGTTCATATAATGCATTTATCAATCAATCAATCAATCAATCAATTTGTATTTGTATAGCGTCAACTCATAACAAGTGTTATCTCGAGACACTTTACAAAAAGCAGGTAAAAGACCTTACTCTTTTTATGAGAGCGCCCGCAGGGATACCCTGGTTTGATGTACAGTATATCCAACGTCTTGTGAGCACTTATTGAAAGCTCTTTTGTTAAAGTTTTTTAAGGAAGCTAACCAAAAAATAAGCTGGGTATGTTGAGCTTGCTTTGTAGAATATGCATCAGGATAGTAATGAATATGTAAATGCACTCAACAATAGACTTACTGATATTATAATTTCTGCTGAAAAACTGTTGTTGGATTAGGCAGCGGATATTCTATATGTTCTGGCCCCTCCAACTTGCTCTTGTCTAAATATGTAATAATGTTGTCACCTGTGTGTGTTGCAGAAGTTAGGGCGATGACCCGGCAGCAGCATGTCACTCACATGCAGCAGCACGTCGACCCAGATCGCGAACAGAACGACCACCAAGCACCTGGCAGCTCGCCGTATGGTACTGGCTACGCAGACGACAACCAGCACAACATCACACACCCTGGCCTGGACCCAAGATCTGCCAACAACCCCCATCAAGCATCAAACCCCACTGCAAACTCATATGACCGTCCCAGCCATCCTGACCATCCCCACAAAGGACGGCAGCAGGAACACCACCTGCATGGTGAGTTATGCCTCTAACACTGTAACGAGTAGCCACCATATCACTTATGCCAAAATAATTCCCTTAAATATTTGTGTATAGGCTATGTAGCATGTTGATGTCTCATTCACATCCTTAGAGGGGACGTTTACACTGAGCCACACACACACACACACACACACACACACACACACACACACACACACACACACACACACACACACACACACACACACACACACGCTAAGCTCCATTCCTATGTTGTGACACGACTGACAACCACCCACACACACACACACACACACACACATACTTCCCTTACAGGAAATCCTGTCTTTCTTCTGTTCTTTGGACTTCCATATGTTATGTGTGTGTGTTTGTGTAAAATAATAAGATGGTTGCTGACACTTTATTATAAGTCTTATGTCACTAGACCAACATAGCATTACATCTCACACACACACACACACACACAACACACACACACACACACACACACACTCTTCCTTCATCCTGTGCGTGGGGCTTGTTTTAGGTTCCCATAGCCCTCTGTTCTATTTGACCATTGGCCTCACTACCAGTATGACTTCATCCTTAAAGGAAACATCAACCTCAGTTAGTAAAGACCGACGGCCCTATTTCACTACCCGCGCAAAGCAGCCTTTCTCATTTTCCACATGACACAGTTGTCATTTTCTTGCCAAGCTCCCACATGGTGATAGCAAGCAATCTTGTGCCCCTGTTATTGCCATGGCTGTGTTTGTCAGAAAACGAGGTTTGGTCAGGCACAAAGGTGGTGCGTTCCTATCTTGAGTACGCAGAAACCAACTGTGCCTTCGAACACCTCAAACCTGGTCTGAAGTCTAAAGTGTCAATATGTACTTGCTTTTGGAGGACACATTAGAAATATAGGCATACATACATGAGTTCATAACAGACTACTCTCAGGGCTAAGAGACGGCAAGTGTGGTCAGGCTAAGACAGTCTTGCAGAAATAGTAATAAAAGAGGAAATTAAAAAATGTTTAAAAAGTGCCAAACAGCACCATGAATCCATGAAAAATTATAATGAATAAATATACTTTCTAAAGACAAGCAACAAGTGCTATAGACGGCTTCAACAATAAAATGCTACTTAGAAAAGTCCAACTAGAGTCCAAGTCCGAGGTGAAACGTTCCCTCAATTCTGCATACTTGATACAGCTCTAAAGCTGCTCTGATACTGCTCCACGCTGCTCGCCACACGCTGACTTCTTCAGAGAGAGCTGAGGGAAACAGAAACAACTTTGGCGAGTAGTGTGTTCTACGTAATCAAGTAGACCATAACGTCGCCTCAGCCCTTTAATGTGCCTTAGTGTCGCCTACAACCAGGTTGGGATGCTCACGGTTTCCCCCGGGTCTTAGCTTGCCGACTACCGACCCAAGCCTGCGTGAAGTAGCGTTGGCGGACACTAGCTGCTCTGCTGACACTCCTGGTTGGGGAATCCCTCGTCTTCGTTTCGCATTTCCTCTTCCGCCGGCTGCAGGTTTCATGCAGGGTTGGGGCTCGGTCTCCACACACCGTCTCCTGTTTCCTTTAGCGCTGATGGTTTCTGAAGTTGTGGGAACGTTGTGAATTATAACTTCAATAGTGCCATCAACATAATTCATACAGTGTTCTGTGTGTATTGTGTGTGTTCAGAGGCACAATGAAAAGGAGAGAAGTTAAATGAGCTGGCCGGATTTCAGTCTATTTGAGAATACAAACTGAAGTCTAGTGTGTAAATCAACGCAGCAGCCTGAAGGCGCACCTGGCTCTCGAAGAGGAATGAGAGCTGACACTCTGATTGGTTTGAATCGTGTTACACCCAAAACCAATCTTTGTATAATGAAAGGACTTAATCCAACCTCTGTGAGCCCTCTTATATTATTTTCACATTTCTGGACCTTTGCTTAAATTCTGTTGACTTGTGTACACATCACATTATTCTCTCTGTTCCAGCAATATTCAAAGCACATGAGTATGTGAGTTATTTACGGTGAAGCTACGTTTGCCTTTGTGCTGGGGAAACACCAGTTGATATGTATCAGAGAGTGAGGAAAGGAGTGGACCTAATGAATGGTGTGTTCAAACTAAAAGTAAAGGGAATTTTTAGCCTGGCCAAACATGATTCGTGCCAAACATTTTTCTTTGATGTTATGGTCTGTGCTGCTGCTTAAAATAACTGTCAACCACACATGTAAAAAACAACACCTATGCGCTAAAGCTCAGAGATGATCGTTTGCTCTTACTGACATTGTTCCCTTTTTTCTAGATCCTTGCTTGTGTTGTACTTACTCTCTGATGTACGTCGCTTTGGATAAAAGAGTCTGTTAAGTGAATTGTAGAATTGTAGAATATTCCTGGCATCTTTGTTACGACATAAAAGAGACAGAACAGAAACAGTGCTGCTAGGCTGATCTGTTTAGTTTCATTTTCTTTTAGCTTATTTTTCACTTGCAAGAATCACACCATCAGCGGCACACAATTTGATTATACCAAAGGATGTGAAAGTAACTATCACTGCATTACTTTGATTGAACGTTTTTAAATAGATGATTTTGCTTCGATAAGTGGCTGATGGATATTTATTTTCATTTAGCGATAACAATCTCCTCAGTAAGTGTACATGTGCTGCATTCAAAAAGTATGCAATATCTGTGTGTTTAGTTATGACCAAGCATCTAATTCCTTTATATAAGGAAGAATTAGCTCAGTAAAACGGACATGCAATTCAATCATGAGGTAAAAAAATCCACATGTAAAAATGACTTAAAAATCCTTTTACTCCTCTGTGTTCTTGCTCCAGGTCCTTGAGGCTGTTTTGTCCACATTTCCAGTCTCGTTAAAGTGTTTTCTTACCTTCAAATTGTGACATTTACAACAAACCGTTTGAAGAAGCAAACAAACCCACAGACGTTGTTTTGTCCGATCAGGAAGTTGACACTGCCAGCCTCAGTAAATCATGCTGACAGTCATTAGACAGAAACACTACCAGCTGACCACGCTGTGTTGGATTTCAACCTCAAGACGCCCCTGCAGACCCCACCCCCCACCCCACCCCACTCCTGCAGCTGGAGTAGGAGGTGACCTGAACTTCCTGTCGCAGTGTGGCCTCACTGTAGAGTGACCTTTGACCTCTCATCCCCCTGCAGCATGTGGGGAAAGGGAATTTGGTTTAACGTAACGAAAACAGGTTGTGATGAAAGAGGCTGAGGTCACGCGTTTCTGTGTGTGTGTGCGCATGTGTGTGTATTTGTATTTGTGTGTCTGTGTGTGCGTCTGGACTGTGTCTCTATGGGAGGGTGACAGCAGTGACCTGAGGCAAACACACACTCATGTTTGAATTTCTATACCTGTGAGGCCACCGTACATTCCTGAGCCTTTAACCCTTAACTGAACCAAAGCCTGCTGTTAACCTGAAAACAAAGACGTAGAACCTTCAAACAGCTGTATGAAGAAGTGAGGACAGGTCATAAAATCAAAAGTGTTCACTTCCATTTTGTACAGAAAACCAACTTTTTAAAAATCGACTTGTGGCAGCCAAAGGTGAATCATTTATTTTGCCTAATGCCTCCTTTAATAGAGATTACAATTTCACGAATGAACTACTTTGTATGCAGAAGAGTTGGCCTCAGTGGTCTCTAATAGTATAGTCTCGGTTCCGAGATGGGATTTCCCCCTCGTGCTCGTGTCTCAAACATACCTTTTCTGTATTATCACATCAAGTAAAGGGGACATGATGCTAAATTAATTACTCAGTTTAGGATATTACTGTCCTGGCTTTCTATTTTCAAACCTGTCTGACTGTCCTTGCACATAGCCTTGCAGTCTCATGCCCTCTTATGGGCATCATAAGGGCCATTTGCTAATGCTAATGTTAAAAAGAACACTGGCACGAGTGTCCAGCTTACAACAACATTGCATTCATCAATTTAAGAACATAGGAGCGAACAACACTGCAGTTTGAGAACAGGGACATTAGTCCATTAGTTATTTGCCAACAGATTCAAGTCATGCCTCAATAGCCAAAATGTATTTTTTTAGTTAAATTTTCTTTAAACCAAACATCACTAAGCTCATTAAAGTAGAAGGAAGCTCTTGCACTTCAGCCACTCCACAAAAGGAGGTTGGTGCTCTCAGTGAAGGACCTCAGATGTTTAAAATAATTCAGTGGACTCACTCTTTCAGGACGGATCCAAAGAAAGTACTGGAGCACACAAATCACTTAAGGCACATTTATTTTGGAGCAAAGTACTAATGTTTCTCCAGTACTTTCTTTGGATCCTGTGTGAGAGAAGGAGTCCACTGAATAATATTTTGAAAATCATTAAGCTCATATTGAATATTTTTTCCTGTCTTTGTCGTTGCCTTTCAACCGGAAGGTCGAGAGTTCGATCCCCAGCTGAGCAACATGTCTGATGTGTCCTTGGGCAAGACACTTATCCCCGCATTGATGTATGTTGCTTTGGATAAAAGTGTCTGCTAAGTGAATTGTAACATGCAATTGACATCGCATTATAAAATGCAGATTCTTAGATGTCACAAACTCACTGAATTTGACATTAACTGTAAACCTGAACACTTTATGATGTTGTGCTTTCTCTTTGTAGTCTTGGCCATCCAAGATCATGCTTGGTTCAGCAGATTTGGTTCAATATAATTCATAGGCATATGGCCATCATCGTCACAGCCAAGCCTTTTTGGAAAGACCTGGAAATGTTCAAGGTCCCACACTTTACAACAGTCTACTGAGTTTCATGCTTTTTATGAATAAATTGACATTTCACCTGGGGAAAGAGTTAAAAAAAAAGGTGTAAAAAGATTTTAAAAAAGGAAACTAAAAAAAAAAACCTAAACTTTTAAAACAACTTTCAGTCTCATTTTTCAGCTCCCTTATTTAGAGTCTCTTATTCTGATGACTGAGAGCGATAAATAGCAGCAAATGTCGGCACAGTTGGGTTTGTTTCAAACTCCAGAAACAACAACAGCACAGAGGATCAGATGGACCCACAGAGCGGTCATAGACCTCCAATCAATGAGGTCCATCTGGAGTGTCCACGTCCTGTGGTCTGTGTTCTGGTATTTGTCTGTTGGCCTCTGCTGCACTAACAGAAAAAATATAACGTCTCCTAGCGTCGCTCCTGCCTGAAACACATATCACTTGTATCCTGAATGTCCCTGATGCCCCCGAGTGAAACAATATCAACATCAGAGTTTTCAAAGATGACAGAAACAGCAGCACGGCGCTCTGAGCCGTTTTTAGGTGGGTTTGTTCCCGAGCTGGGTGATTTTCCAGGCAGAGGCTGTGTTGTGTTTATGTTCCAGTTTGGAAACTAAACTGCTTTCATTTTAAAGCCGACCCATTTACTTCTGGTCCCCGAAGAGAATCAACTCTGCAGGGAGTGTGTGTGTTTTAGTTGTCTCTCTTGTTAAGATTAGCTTTGTGTTTTTATAGCAGGAAGGGCTGTGTGGGTGGCTGCATGGAAAACTTGATTTAATCATGTTTTATATTGGAGGGACTAAATTAAGAAATCTGTGTCTGACAGTCCCGGAAGATGAATCCTGATAACTATGAGGTGCTTTTGTTTCTTAATCTAATGGCACCGACTGGTTATAAATCACATTGCTTCCATTACAGTTTTCCGGCTGCTGGCTGAAGTATTCAAGTGGAATAAATCCTACATTTTTAGTTTTTTAGACTACAAGATATATGACTGTATGTTTCAACATAAATCTCCCCCTTTTATGATTCTGAATAGCAATTATAACTCTATAACCAATCCTGATCCTTTTGAAAGAGGGCCAAATGTCTCCATTCTTCTCCACATGACACAAAATGTTTCACATGAAAATAATCTCAATCTGTTATCTGTTTTTGGTTGCCTACCCCCTACCCAGAAGCCACTGCTGAAGCCACTGCTGAAGCCACTGCTAAAGCCACTGCTGAAGCCACTGCTGAAGCCACTGCACATATGATGGCTCTGGTCATGTCAAAGCTGCAGCCAGTCCTGGAGGGCTTCAACCACTCCCTCGAGCACCTGAGCCATCAGGTGGGGGACCTGTCCCGTGATGTAGCCCAGTTGAAGAGCAGTCAGCTGGTGACCGAGCTACAGGCGCAGCCCCCGGATGTCCCTGAGCTAGACGAGGCAGCGGAGGAACGGCTGAATACCAGGCTGGATGAAACGCTTCATCAGATCAGGGAGGTCAGGAGACAGTTGGAGAGTCAACAGAGGGAGATGGAGAACAGGCTGCACTACCAGCATGTAATGCTGCATTACAACCTCACCAGCTTCAAGACCGACATTGACATGAAGCTGAAACGCCACCAGAAGATGCTACAGGTCATATTACCATTTGCCAATTACTACAAAATGATTTATTGACTCATTCAATTAGACAGCTTTAATTAAATGTTACCAGTTTCACATAGTTTCTAAAATATTCACCCTCCACTAAAAAAAGACTAATTAGGTGACATATAAGTTTGTATAACTGCTTTTTTTTTTTTTTTATCAATCCATGATTTTGTTGATAAACCTATTATATGTGATAAAATGTGACCAGTTAGTTAAATCACAAGAAGGAATAGTACCAAAAGGTTTTAAGAAGTATTTTCTTTTTAATCAAAAAGTGTTACTTTTTTTTGGGATGTTTCATTAAAGAGGGCAAAGTGTAGCCAGCATATTTATTTACTAATTCTACTTTACAATAGTAATCCAACTCTCTCATCACAGATATTTAACACCTGTTTCTTTCTTTAACACAGGTCAGCCTGCAGGCCATGAACAGCACACTTACTGAGCTGAAGCTTGATCAGGATCAGCTGGAGGATAAACTGGAGGATCCGCTGGTGGATCAGCTGGAAGATCTGCTACAGGATCAGCTGGAGGATCGCCTTCCTCCTCCCACCCTGCCTCCCCCCATCCTGCTGCAGCCATTAGACACCTCGTCCCTGTGGGAGGCCATTGGGCGCCTTGACAACATGGTGGTCAACAACACAGTGAAGGCAAATACATCTACAGATATAGTAACTGAACAATTGAGAAAAAATAGAAATGCTAAATTAAAGAATATTTTCTTTCTTCTGCACCTGTTGCTCCACAGGTGGACGGGTTGTTGGAGGACCTGGAGGTGACCTCAGGGAACGTGCAGCTGCTGAGGCGGGACCTAAAGGATCTTGGGAAGCAGATCAACCAGACAGCCAGGAGCAGTCAGATCCAGTACATGGAGACAGGGCTGGAAGTGGACGCGGCGAGGGAGGTAGTGCTGAGGCGGGTGGGTGAGCTGGCGGGGAACCTGAGTCTGCAGGACGTGAGGCTGCAGGAAATAGATGTGGACATGGACTATATGTACACCATCCTTTACAAGCACAACTCATCGGCAGACTGTGACTGCAAGGGCCTGAAGGCGGCTGTGGCTAAACTGGAGAGGGGCTTGGCCAATGTCACCGAGTTGGCCAATGAGAACAGATTAGCCCTGGATGAGGACAATGATGGAGGGGCGGGGCAGTGGGGCGGGGCAAACGACTGGGAGCCAGCGGTGGGGACTCTCCAACAAGGCCTCCAGCAGGTATGAAAAAAAAATCTGTTCACATTTTTTGGTTAAAAAGAAATATACAATCCAACCTTAAAAATAATTTCCTTTTAATAACTATGTTTGAAACATTTTGCTCTCATGGTGTTGTCTTTAGACAATAAACTGCAAAAAGCCAAGAGACACTTTGAGACTTGTAATAAAAATAGTTACAAAAAAACTAATCGTGCTGCCCTGAATTGAACTTTGGCAACTGTCGGAGGAAAGCCTCAGACTGTTGTAGCAGACTTTGCACTAATGGATGTCCTTTGTTACATTTTCTGTTGTTGTTTTTTTAACAGCAAACTGAACCCATAACACAGTGAACCTTTTTCTTCACCATGTCTGGTGGTGTTTTTAGCCTTTACTTAGAGCAAACTGGGGCACACAGCTCTACTCTACTATACTACAATTTAAAGTTAATTTTTGATCAGTAGTTTGACAAAGAAAAATGAGTGAACTGCATACACAAAATAACATCATCACAGGTAGAACCTTTCCACTACGAGTAGTTATGGACCTTGAATAATGTTAATTTTGTCAAACTGCATCTCGAAATAAACTCATGACAAATGCTGTTTTTAAAGAATTATTGCAAAAAAAGTTGTAGAACTAAAAATGCTGTGCTAAAAGTCAACTTTGGTACCGGTTTTCACTTAGATTGTGATTTTACCTCAGAATAAAATAACAAATATTTGCCATTAGAGAAACACAAAATATAGAATTCAATTTTAATAAAACTACATTAAGCCGCTTTACAAGATTGAAATTAAGATTGAAATCTTCTCTTAATCAAATCTCATGTGCAGAGTCAAATCAATGCATCAGAACATTCAAAATCAGTCCACATCCACCGTACAATGCAAAAATACAGATCCACAAATGTGGATTCATCCCCCACAGAAAATAGTCTTAATAGTCTCAGAGCAATACAAGACTTTGTACTGTCTCTTTAACACAAACTATTGTGGGACGATTTTGTGTAACAAGCATATTGTCTGTTTTAGTCTGCCCATGTAGACAGGATTAAATGCAGACTTTACCTGATTTTGATCACTCGTTTGCCCCTCATCCTGCAGGTGAAGGAGACTCTTACCTCGGAGCAGAGCAGGACCAGCACTCTGGAGCAGAGTCTGAACCAGCTGAGCAGCTTGGTGACCGTGGGTCTAGTGGAGGTCTCGGGTCTGAAGGCAACCGACAGGAAGCTGGTGGAGGAGATGAAACACCTGTCTAGCTCCTTTAACTCCTTGCTGAAAGACGTCATCAGACACAGCGACGTGCTGGAGCTGATGCTTGGGGAGGAGGTGCTGGAGTTCCTGGAGTGGCCGGTCCAGGACCAGGAGGCCCACTCCATCCCGGTCCTAAAAGAGCGGCTGAGACTCCTAGACGAGCAGCAGAGAGGACACAACCTGAGCATCACCTCCCTGCTGAACAGACCAGGTATGAATAACCTGCAAGGAGGTTTACCTTTAATCCATAACAAAGGAACTGCTGGAAATCATGGATTTTAACACAGCACTGTGGAGAAGTACAATTATGACATCTTCTACTTTTCTTGATACCTCTACTTCATTATTTATACCTCACCAGCACTACATTTACCTGACAATTGTAGTTATTTTACAGGTTCAAATCATTTAAACAGAGTTCACAAAAAAAACTGGTATGTTTTCACATATCAAACTACACAGCAGTATGTATATTCATTAGAATGAGCTCCACTTTACCTGCTCTGAGATGTAACACATTTATGAATCAGTTTAAAATCCAATTATCTTATCAATATTATTCTACATTTTGAGTCTCATAGGAGGAACTTTATTTTTCTTATAAAACTTGTCTAACCTGCTTGTTAAAGCAGAACGTCTTTTCTCTTCACTGTTTTCCTTTATGTGCGGGATTAATATTCTCCAAATAAATCTTTTTTCAGATAGGACAGATTTGACATTAAGAATTTCTTTACATTTTTGGTCTTCCTCCAGATGCTGTCATTTTAGGACAAATAGAGGCTTTGAAATTGTCTCATACCCAGTAAAAAGGTACTCACAGTACTTTCAAGTAGGCTATATTTTACTCTAATACTCTAATACTTTGCCTCATTCAGATATTTAATTCTGAACTTTAAATGATACTCATGGAAGTCTTGATCCGATCCTTTGGCGCTTATGTTATTTAAACAGAGCTAATTATCAGCATCTAGTGGCAGCTGTGAGAACTACAAAAACAAAGCACACATCTTCTGTCCTCTGTAACCATTTGTGTTTTCAGGCTGATTTCTGATCTTTACTAATTGCACTAATGCACTCAAGAAGAAATAAAGAGTCAAAGAGAGTTTAAACTTTTCTGTATTCCACTATTTAACTAAAAAAAGCAGCTGCCCACTTTTCATGAAGTGTAATGTATGCTTGTTTGGAAAGGTGATTTTGGTTTGAATCATCCATGGTTTATGTATATATATATATATATATATATATATATATATATATATATATATATATATATACATAAACTTTTTTTTTAAATTGCCTGACAGTTTTGATGGCAAAAATAAAAATATAATTGACACGAAATGTAGATCTAGACCCCCAAAGAGCTGAGTAGTAAAAGTGAGGATGTCTTGTTAGGCATTCGTAAAACTGCATTTCCACCCTTCTTTGGGGAATTCTTCCCCCTTTTACACTGATGTTTGTGTTTTTAGGAGGCAGAGAGGAGGTACCATCTGCTGACCAGCCCCCACCCTCCTCCCAACTCCTCCCTGATGACTGGCTTCATGGCAGCACGAGGAGCAGCAGTGGAGTTCCAGCCAGAGAGCGGCAGCTCCTCCTCCACCCTGAGGGAAGGCGCCCACAGCATGGAGGAGATGGTAGCGATCTTTGGAACCTGGAGAAAACAGTGGAGGTGTTGGGGCAGAAGGTGCTCCTCCTGGAGGAGAAACACCACAACAACACCACTACAGACAGAATGGCGCCTCCCAGTGGTGTGGAGGCCAAACTGCAGGCAGAGGTGATGTGGCTGAAGAGAGGGCTAGAAGACCATCTAAGAGTTTTCAAAAACGTCTTCAGTAATGCTGACATGCTGGTGGGGTCTGACGCCACGCTGGAGCTCGATAAACTGTGGCAGCTGATGAAGAACAGAGACGGGAAGAAGGAGAAGAAGAGAGGAGGAGGGAAGGAGGGGATAGGAAGAGGAGGACACCATCGCAGCAGGAGGGAGTCATTGGGTGAGTGAAGACTAAGGGCCTCATGCAAGTTTTTATTACTGACCTCCTTAAATTACTTAACTGCAAAAACGTTTGCTTTTCTTACTTTTCTCTGCCCTTTTGTAGACTGCAGGCTCCCAGTCGCTGGCCCCGCCCCACTAGTCCAATGTACCTAGTAATCCCTTGTAAAAGATCAAATACAATTAATTAGATTGGACATAAAAGTAATTTCTTTGTAGGTGGGTTTTGTTGACTGAGGAAAGAGCCAGGCTAGCTCTTTCCCTCTGTTTCAAGTGTTTGGGCTAAGCTAAGCCAACTTGCTGCATATAGCCAAAAGAACAGAGTTTAAGTAAGAAATAAAAGATTACCATTTTAATTTGTTCAGGAGAAGTTGTTTTGGTTTTTGGTTCTAGACTCCTGACCCTACTTTTCTGTCCAGGTGTTGCTCCCGTCCTGTACACCCAATCAGAAGACCCTTTGCTGCTTGTGGCTGGATCTCCTCGAAGTGTCTCAAACGGTGTCATCTTGTTGGAAGCCTCTCTAAACCTGGGTCAGATTTACTCTGACACCGGCACCTTCACTGCTCCTGTGAATGGGATCTACCTGTTTGTCCTCACCTTGGACCTGAGGCCAGGCCCCACCCACGTGCTCCTTGTGAGGGGGTCTGGAGCAGCGCCAGTGTTTTTACACCAACAGGAGGTGAGGGAGGCAGGGCTGGTCACTAGCATGAGCCTCCTGCTGCTGGGTAAGGGGGAGAAGCTGAGGCTGGAACTAAAGGGAGGAGAGTGGGCGGAGTCAGAGGACAATGTGTTCACCGCACTGCTGCTCCACCGGACCACCTGAGGGCGCTGCTCAACATCAGCTCAACAATAGACACTGATCTGAGACTCTAGGAGGGGTAGAATCACAGAGAACACAGAGGGTTGGACTGACTTTTTGGAAATGAAATATAACTTAACTTCATAGAGGTTTATTCCAAAGCACCATACGGCATATTAAACAGAAGATTTTATACTAAGAGGGATTGAAAGCCTAAAACCCTTTTTAACCATGAAATTAGAATATTGAGCTCAAAAACATGTCAAACTAAAATATTTACAGTCAGACCTCATAATTGGCACACCAGTGGACAAAAGGGAGAGAAGCTAGTTCAGCTTCTAATTACTTCAAGTAAACCTATGTTGAGTATTTTGTTAGCCTAGCTTAACATAATGACTAGAAAGAACAGGAAACAGCCAGTCTGACCAAAAACACAGAAGACCTCTAAAGGTCACATAGAAAGAAAGAGGGATTTAAAAAACATATCCATCAGGTCAGTAACTCTGTGCCGTGTCATTGGCTGTAGATCGAGTTGCCAGTTCAATTGCTTTTGGTCAATGCTATGATTTATGTCCAACAAGAAATAGTTTCTGCAACAACAACAAAAACACTGTAAAACACAGAACTTCCGTCTAGCAACACTGTTGTTATACAGATTAGAGAAATGAGATAATGTAGTGTGCTGAACAGTGAGCTTTAGAAGTTAAGAGGTATAAGTGTTTTAGCCTGTGTTCCTGCTCAGTACAGAAGTCCTCATTAGGGATCTGATGACAACTTTTCAGCTTTAATTTGTGCCCTTTCTTTAAAGGCTTTATATGTGATTTTTTTGATCCAGCAGATGTCGCCCTTGAGCACCAGCATGAAACCAAAACAACTCACGGTGCATTGTTGTGTTAGCATGCTAATGCTAGCGATCTTTATTATGCTCGTATCTTCACACTGCATGTAAATTTAACCGAAATGAGCGCGATCTAGAAACACAGTTAAGCAGAGAGTACAGTATGCTATTCTTCTTTTCTCTAGTCCCTCAATTAAACAACTTTTATATATGAGGGGAGGAGTCTGCTGGCCGTCCTGGCGATGTAAACAAACTGAAGATAGGACTCGGAAAACTCGGAAAGCATCACAGACAGCAGGACTCGCGTGTTACACCCATTGTAGACAGTCATGACTCACAGAGTTATTTTCAGAGGATATACTTGATTTCTGCTACATTTAAGTGTGAAAAATCACATATAAAGCCTTTAAGTTTGCATATCTGAAGACCTTCCTGTGGGACTTTCAAAGACTTAGTGGCAAAATTGGTGACATATAAACCTGGATGCTCTGACCCACACTAAATATTAACAAGAAAAGCATATACAATATTGGGTAGTAATCTAGTTTGAAGGATAATTGTTGTCGACAGTATCTGGTTTCTCACTGTCTTTTGAGTATTTTCAGTCAAATGTCCTCACATGATCTAAATTTCCTCAAACGTATGAATACTTCATTGTCACATTACACAAATACATAGTGAAGGAGGGGTCCCTATCTTTTTATTTCTTGTTGATGCTTATGACCAGGCAACTTGGGACGGCACTTGTTCATCCAATCCTCTTATTCCCTCATGAACTCGTCCACTCAACGCCTGACTGCATCAGTTAACTCACAGAGAGTGTGGTGCTCAGGCCTCATGGTCAAGATTTGTGTTCGGTCTACAGCTGCCGTCTGCTGCCCCCACAACTTGCCTTGCACTTACTGAGATTAACACAAGTTTTCAAACATCACTAGTGCAGTCCCCGATCAGAGCTGGCCGATTGCTTTGATCCCAGAGGTGTTGGTATCAGTATTCTCAAAAATGTTCATCCAATAGATTTCACACTTTATATTGCACTCCCCTTTTTACCTCACAAAATCACTCAACATGTCAGATTAAACGTTCATCAGATATTGGAAAGACGGTCCTACATACAGAGATTCCTGTGTGTATGAAATGGTAAATGGACTTGAGCTTGTATAGTGCTTTTCTAATCTTTTGACAATACTCAAAGCATTTTTACACTGCAGGTCATTCCTACCCATTCACAGGTTACTATGTAAAGAGATTATCAGAAGTAACCCCATTCATACTTATCATACACAGCGGGATCATCTTGGTGTTAAGTGTCTTGCCCAAAGACACATCAGACATGTGGCTGCAGGAGCTGTGGATCCACCGCTTGACCTTCCGGTCTACCAACTGAGCTCCAGGCGCACCATACAATAAGATGAACCTTTCTTGTAGCAGCTGCTCATGTGGTCAGGCCAACCTATCTAAGGCTGAGCAGGGTTCAAAGTGTTGTCTTCATATCAGTATACATCTTCAGTACTCAATGATCATGATATCAAAGTGTTTCATGGGAGTTTTCTTCTTGACATAAAGAACATATTCTGAAGTGAAGTCACCAGATATCTGTAATGTTTGTAAAGTTCTGATAAACCACACAGTTCATATTTATATAAGAGAGATAAGCCGTTTGATGAATGTGTTTCTATTAAAGTCTTATGGACCGTGACCAGCCTGTAACTTAATAAAAGTTTTATCTACAGAAGTCTCTGTGTGATGTTATAATGCTGCAAACAGCAAGAGACATGGAGTCACTTTGTTTTTCTTCCACATTTCAAATGAAGTACAACATCATATACCTAAAGTACACCCCAGATCTTTATCTCGGGTTGATATGGAGAAAGAAAATGTTCAAAATAAACATTTGATTATGAGTTTTGAGTGTAAGTGTCCAAAACACTGTTTTGAGTATTTCACTTTTTGTCCTACTTTATGAACATCTCTTACTTTAAACCTAAATCTATCACATGTATTATCTGACAGTACAAACAAGTTTGAAAGACTCGTGACTTCAACCCTCTTTGGATTGTTGAACTTCTCATGTTTCAGTTGTTGTCAACAAATCTCTCCAAATTTCTCACATGGAATTATTTATGAAAGTGCTCAGTGATCCAACAGAATAAATCAAGATCAGATTCTTGTAACAGAATTTCTTTTTGCCATCTTTCCTCTCCAGTTTTTCATCGGACACGCCCCTCAGATTTATTACAGAGGCCCTTGAGACGGCCTTGGCCCCCAAGGTTGGTACACTGCAGGACTACATTAATCCATGTAAGAAGCTCAGGGGGATACGGTGAACCTGAAAACAACCCCAACACATCTGAGACATTACAAGACACAACAAAAACACAGATGCTTCCTAAAAAAGTCCAAAGGCAAAAAGTTTTAACAATACAAAATTTTAGTTGATGAACAAATGTTATTACGTTCAAATATATATATAAGTAAATTAACTAGATCTGCCAGAAAAGTTTAGCAAAGTAAAAGCTCCCTGTGAGATGTAGAGGAGTAGTAGAGTTTTATATTGGTTACATTAAATACACTGAAATGTTACAGCTTTTAAGCTAGAACATCTATATATTGGAGGAGACAAACATGTAATTGTACCGCATTTTTTAAAGTTTGTCTGCTGGGATGTAGCTTTTTAAGAGTACAATTTTCAAGCACTTTTGAGGGTATACCCTATAAAAGGCAGGGTTGGTCATTTTTGAAAACTAGCATGATTCCCTCAGTGCTCCTTCAACACCCACCCTCTCCCCTCTGTGCTCCCTCTAAAGACACGAGCTGGAGCACGAGCCCCGTTGCTACAGAAGCAGACCTCAGCTCATTACTTGCATTGTGTAGAAAAAACATCGTCTCCTGTCTCATTCAGCGGTAAGTAAACACTAAGCTGTATCATAATACACGTTTAAAAAGGGGTAGAGAACAAGCAGGGAGACAGGGAGGCATGATTGGTTTATCCGATTGGGACCTCGAGGCAGACATTGGTCAAAGTCTTTACATGCTTAAAACTGCTACAGATGACGGATTTAAAAAATCTTCAAAAGTGTATCTGGAGAAAATTACCAACCCTGCCTTGAAGTAAAACATTTCTAAATTCTGACCTGTTTTATGATTACATTTGTATACAAAAGGATTTTTTGACAGATGAAGTTTACCGAATACCTACAGCAGTCCCTGTACATTGTCACTTCATTAACCAGCTTACTTTCTGTTTGAAGAAAGAGAAGTTAAAAATTGGGCGATGAGCAGCTACAGTACGTAAATGTAAAGCGTTGGATAAAATCGCCCCCCTTTTCTTCACGTGAGGGAGCTCCATTCATGCTGTGATGGATTTGTAAATGTTCCATTTAGAAAATAGTATTAAATGTTAATACATTCTGTGCGTCAGTAGCCTGGTGGTTATTGTGTTTGCCCAATGTACGGAGCCTATAATCGTCAAGCCGGGAGGCCCGGGTTCAAGTCCAACTTGGCTCCTTTCATGCCCCACTCTCTCTTTGTCCCTCATTCCCAACTCAATCCTCTCTCCTATCTTTACAATAGTCATAAAAAGCCCAAAAATAAATCCTTAAAACAATTTTTTAAATAAATGTTGTCAGCATCAATCTTTTTGTTTATCCGGTCTTCATATGTTTTATGCTGTATCAGGTACAGAAACAATTTTAGTGTATATTTTTGTTGTCATTGCAAAATGAAATCTTCCCTTATTTCCTGTGATTCTATCATTCCTGGTTAAAGTCCAGGAGACAAGAAACCAATACGATGAAGTAAATGACCAACATGATTTTTGGTTTACATAAGATATCTTTAACTTTATCTGGTGTTTCTGGACAAACAATTTTCGAAGGAGCATATTTGAACTAATTTCCAAATCCTTGACAATATAAAACATGTAATTGAGATTTTACAAACTCTGAAGAGTCTGTTAGGATGTTTTTGGTAAATCAAAGTCATACACTCATAAAACCACTGATCCAGTACGGATCTGTGAAGAGCAGCTAACGTTAGCTCACAGAGCAGCACTGACTAGTGTGAAAAGGGTTTTCAGAAACTATAACTTATAAACTTACGTAAGTCGTTGACAATTCATGAAAAAAATGCTTAGCTCTGAGGGTAACACTGGATAACTATTTTGGGCAGTAAGCATTGTGTACACTGCCTCAGCATCCAGAGAAACCTCCTGAGACCAGCAGAGGATGAAACTGTTTGTGTCTCATATCAGAAGTGTGAAATGTGAGCAACAGAAAAAAAATATGACAGTTAGACTCTGAAGAGTTCCTTTATACCTTTTAATCATCATATCTTCTCTGTTAGGTCTACAGTGTAGAAAAATAAGCATCAAAAATATACCAAAATCAAGAAAATAAAATCTGGCAAAGCAACAACAAAAATAACTTTAACATGTTGAAAAATACCTTCTCTTCATGTGAATGAATGTTCAGCCTTCAAATGGATCAATACAATTAATATAATAAATCTGGTCTGATCTGAGCTTTTATTCTGAAAAGATAATATTTTGTTAGTCAAAGAGCAGGGGGAAGTTTGGAGCAACAGCATGATTGAATCTTAAGTGGCTAAATGATACTTTATAATTATATCATGATATTAATAATGCTAGCAGACCAGACGTGGGTGAGATTGTTTAGCTCACCTTTACCACCAGGTAAGCCGGGTGGGTTCTTGGCAGTGCGACAGTTTAAACTAAACCTGTTATCAAACAGGGTTCTGCTTTTTAACCTGTTCCTTCATGATTTACAAACCAAACTTAAGAGTACAGAAACATAAGAAGAGGCGTCTCCCTGAACAACGGGCGAGATGTCAAAACAAAACGAGCAACAAGCAGAAAAACAAATCTACCGTCAACACTTCTGAAGTGCACTAAAGTCGAGTTACATGCAGCCGAGTCGCTGCACTAAAAAGATCTGCATATATAATCATTACATTACAGTCGAGTTATTCTCTCAAGGCTAGAATACGTTTGAAAACATCATGCTGAATATTAGCTGCAACTCTGTCAAAATAAAGCTCGAGTTATTCATCTAAAATCCTCTAACGAGTACAAGAAGGCTTCACATCCCAAACCAGGCAACTAACTAGCTTTAGAAAAGTAGATGAGGTCTATAGAGAGTATATTCAGGTTAGGCAGGTAGAATAGTTTGTTAATATATGCACGACTCAGTCAACAAACCTACAAAAATAAATAGAGGAATAAGTAGAGTAGTTTTATATAGAAAGACACTGAAGAAAGAGCTTTTCTGCTTCCTGCCGTGTCTTTAACGTCCTTCATTGCCTGTTTAGATCTTCTGTAGCTCATAGATATAATAAACATGTTATCACTGTTTTAAGATATATTTTATACCTGTGGTGCTGAAACATGGCGTCTGTTCAACTTCACACCTTCAGATCAAATAACAGACACATCACATGTCAGTGTTGAACTGCAAAACTAATCGGCAACCTTTCTGATCATAACTTCAGAGTCATTATCTCACTAAAACATGATCCCTACACTCGTTTTCTATGACAGCAAACTGAATATGTTCAGTGATCTGGACTGTTGGTTGAAAGAAAAACTACACACAACAAAGAAGAATAAGCTACACAATTTGAGGCAAAGCTGCAGCAACTGGTTGATTCTCTATCAAGAGATTCATTTTTGGCATGTTAAACTATAGAAAGAAAGGATCAATTACAGATGACATTCTGATAAGTGTCCTTTTGTCCAACCAACCGTCCAGCATGAAAAAATATTCAGTTTACTGACTTTATTAAAAGAAGCTTGAACTTTCAAATGTTTGACTAAATAATCATGATTCTCCTGTTTAAAACACGTGTTTATGCCTCCATGTGTCTGTAGTTTGATCAGACTGAGGGTGCACAGCTGAACAGACAGCAGGTCACTATGATCTGCTCTCAGTTCACCAGCTGTTTGTGTCACGATCAGCGTCTGTGTTCTGGTGCTTTGTCTCCATTATAAATCTAAATGTGCTTTAATCCAGCAGACATTCATCAACGGTTTCTGTATATAGATCGCTCTCTCTCTTAAATTGTTTATTTAGACCCTGCCTATATGTGTGTGTGTGTGTGTGTGTGTGTGTGTGTGTGTGTGTGTGTGTGTGTGTGTGTGTGTGTGTGTGTGTGTGTGTGTGTAGGTGAGGGGTCCAGAGCCTGGAAGAGCAGGCGGGCCATGTAGAGTCTTAGCTGCACTTCAGGCGACTGCTTCTTGTGGTGGAAACTAAACTGAATAACTGAAACTTAGAAAGTTTTAGAGAAAGTTTTGTTCCCCTGATGAAGCTGCAGATCAATCAGAGAGCTTAACTCCACAGAGAGATCTCCACTAACAACAAGGGGGCGGGGCTTCACAGCCAGAGGGGTTAAAATGACGTGTTGGCACAAAGATACAGAACAGAAACTTTAACCCTTTTGTTATGATGGATACAAAACTCTTGTTCTCTGGGATCTGCAGGGGGGGGGGGGGGTCATGATCAGCTGGCAGGGCGGAACCGAGACACATAAGCGCCGCAGGACTTGCAGTAGGGGCGTGACGGCTCAGCAGGAAGCTGCTGGCACAGTGAGCAGAAGTGGGGGTCTCTGAGGGGCCGGGTAGTGGGGGGCTGATGGGAGCTGGTGCGATGGAGGGGCTGGTGGTGGCGAGCAGTGCGGGGGTCCCATGATGAACTAGGTTGGACAGTCCTGTAGTCTGCCTCCCTGCGCCAGTCAGTCTCAGGGGGCATGTCGAGGCGGAGTGGCTGGGGGGGGCCCTCTCCATGCACCCTGTGGGGATGTGGAGCGTAGCAGGAGGACCCGTTGACCGGATTGGGCAGCGACGGTTGCCTGTAGTGACCGTTGGTGTTGGCAGAGCGGCGAGGGTGAGACAGGGTAGCGTAGAGACTCTGTGGACCTGTAGGGGGGGGAGGACCGGAGCTAGCACGTGGTCGGGGCAGGGAGGAGGTGGAGGAGGGAGGCAGAGCTCGGCGAGGAGCCCGGGGCAGAGTGCCGTAACTCATCGCGACACTGTGGAGGCTTTGACCCGAGAGAGCCTGATGCCTGTCAGACACAGCCAGAAACTGCTGCTGGACTCCTGATCCAGGTCCTGAGGAAGAGGAGGAGGAGGAGGAGGAGGAGAAAAATGATTGTGAAAAACTATTTAAACACAACTCAGAAGAGCCTTGAACAGAGTTCTCCCTCAGCTCAATCAGAGGCAACCAAACAATCAAAAAACATGAAGCTCAAGTTGTTAAAGGGACCAATAAGAGACATGATTGACTTGAAGCCTCTTTTGGAGGCGGTGGTTTCAGGTTAATGAATCTGGATATTTGTGTATGAGAAGTAGACTTGGTGGCTGAGGCAGAAAAGTGAAGCCAATGTAGAAATGCCTTAAACCTGCATTCTTTCTAGTGACCAGCAGGGGGCAGCCCCACATTAAATATCATTTCTGATAATATAGAAGTTCATTAGAAAATGAGCGCACTTCCATTCGATCTATTAAATCTGTAAACAATTACTAATGAATTCAGGGTATTACTGGTTAGCTTTGATGTTTTTTTCAGTACAGCATTAAGTTCATTTAGTAATTTATAGAACCGTTAAAGGTATGATGGTCAGAAGTGTTGCCATTCTGGGTCTGAATGCCCCTCCTATTTTCCTGTTGTACTTAGCTTACTCTGTCACTTATCATACTTCTATTTTAGGCGCAGTTTCTTTCACTTTAACCCTCATTCACTTCATACTTCACATTTGATTATACACTATGTTTTATTGTATGATTATTTCATGTATGTTTGATGCTCTTTTGTGTTACTCTTATTTATTTATTAAACAACCAGGCAGCAGAATGTCCTTTTAGGTTAGTGTAGTTCAATCATATGTTATTTAGAGCTAAATAGGTGATAATGCAGTGGAATGCTTGAAGCATAACTTTCTTAAATTGACGAGTCACTACCACTGAATAAAAAACAATTTCCTCATTCAGCATCCAGTTGTGTTAAAGACTCTGCTGCTCTACATTCTTCTCTGTCATGCATGTTTTTTGCTTAGTTTATTCGGTTTAAAGCCAGTTTCAATTCATGCATTGTAGATTTAACTTTAGCTAGCACTGAGGTAAATGATAAATCTGCTTTTTCTACACCCTCTCTCTTTCCCAGCTCCACCTTCTTGTCCAAATAAATTCACTTCTTACAAGATCTCTAAAACTCTCCAAATTCCCAGAAAACCCTGCAGAGGTTGAGTCCTGGGCAGCGATGAAATTGTGGTGGGAAAAATAACCGTAACAGGTTTTAGACGTCAGTGTGAAACAATAATATGGTGGTCATTGTAGGTTTGGTGGTGGAGGTGGAGGTGCTGGTGAAGGTGGGGGGGAAGGGCCAACAGGTTACCTGAGTGTCCCCAGGAGGAGAGCCCCGAGCTTGGGGGTCGTGATGTCTGCATGAGAGGGTGCTGTGGAGGAGGTGCGGGAGCTGAGGGGCCGTGATGTCGGGGTGGGTGATGTTGGAGGTGGTGGTGGGAGTGATCTGCTGGAAAGGAGGTGGAGGAGGAGGTAGTGGAGGAGGGGGAGGGAAGGTGCAGGGATGAGGTGCTTGGGCGACGGAGGGAGGAGGAGGAGAAGGAGGAGTGATGGTCGGCTTGTCTGAGGGGGGGTCTGGGAACAGGGGGGTCCTAAGAGTGAGAGGGAGGAGTGAAAGAAAAAAAGAAAACACAGGAGGAAAAGAAAATGAGAAGAGATGATGACGAAGGCAGAAGAAAGAAATAAGAAGAAAAAAAAGAGTGAATAAATTAAAGAGAGTAAAAGATGGTTCAGAGATGTATTAGATAAAAATGAGAATACACAGATTAAGAAGTGAGTCAAAGGAAGGAGAGAAGGAAAAGACAGGAAAATTAAGAAAAAGTAGAGCAAGGGGGTAAAAATAAAATGAAAACATAGTTAACATAATGAAGGGAAAAACATGAAAAATGACAACATAAAAGTGAAGGAGTAGAAAAAAAACTTGTATCAATAGCATACAAGTTTCCTTTTCTGTCAATCATATACAATCTAAGATGGTATATTTTTGTTGAGAAGTTGAATTTCCCCTCATCTAGAAGTCATGAGCAACAAGATTTTGTTGAGTTTATCTGATGTTATGCTTTTCTTCATGTCATAACTGAATTATTAATGAGGATCACTGACTACGGGTCTGAGCTCACTTTGTTCTTTCTTTGAATCTGCCCCTGTGTGAGTAGTAACGTCTCAGTGAGTATTGCAGCTGTGCTACAGACACAATCAACACTCAGCTGAAGAATCAAATCCTCTGGCTGAAGTAAAACATTGACATTCTTCCTGCGGACGGAGGAGCTGGGAGGATTCGACAGAGATATCCACAGTCAGACCTCGGCTGTCGGTTCAGATCAGGCAGCCAGCACTGAGGTTAAAAGCTTAATGGAAGAACTAAATCAGAGATCAATCTTTAATGCGAGGGCCTGAGGCGATTCCTGGGGGCTGAATATAAGATGGCTGAACGCCAGCGGCAACAAAGAGGAGAGAGAGACAGGTTCTGTACAGAAGCACAGGCTCCTGCTTCAGGCTCGCACAGAAACCTTTACAGCCGAACAGAGTTCTACAGTTCACAGGCTTTCTCACACGCTTATTGACATGTGCAGCGCTAAATATGACCAGCAGCAGTTACTGTGGGTCTGCAGAACCATGCTGCATGTAGTTATTACATATTTTTTTATAAACCAAAGAAATGGTTCAACTCTTAAGTCAATGAAGACGCTCCTAAAATAATAACACAAAAGAACCTCCCATTTGTTGACACTTATTGACACTTACAAATAAAATAAAATAAATATAGATGCAAAATGAATAAAAAATAAACAGTAGATCATCTTAATTTAGCTTACATGTCCTGGAAACCTTTACTATACTGATATCATGTCTTCTTTTGAGTCCTATTAACGTTATTTACAATATCAAATCCCATCTCTGAATCAAATGTTCAAATGTTCAGAGGTCTCTAGCCTTTTTTTTAATTAATCAGTGTTTGGGCAAAACCTTCAACAAATTAACCGAGTAAAGAACAATTTGCAAATCTCGCTCACTCTTTTTTTTTGTTGCAAAACTCTAAACACACTTGTGATGCATAATGGTACCCACAGGAAGCAGAAGTTAAAAAGCATCACAACACAGGTGTCACAGTTTACACACAATGACTTACAACTGAACACACGTGTTGCTAATGATGTGAGTAAAATAAAATCTGGTGTGTTTCCCAGCTGAAAGTGAGTGTGTGACTTACGCAGCTGCGGGAGGGGCCGAGGTTTTGCGGTCGTGACCCGATGACAGTTCCACTCAGGCTGCGGGTGATGCGTCGCAGGTTTTCTGCGCTGTAGTTCTCGTCTTCACCTGGCGGCTGCACAGAGGACAGATGTCACCATTAGACTTTGTCTATGTTCTCTGCGCTATTACATTTATTTAAAATGACAAGTAAAGAATAATGACCTTAGACTGAAACAACAGCAAGATTTAAAATATATTTATTCTGAACTCCAACACCTCAGAGCATTGTGTTGAAACTGAGATTATTCAGCAGTTTGACAGCCATGGAATTTGTTCAGCAATTTAATCACATATCATAGTGTAAAAACAAAACACCAGTCAACACACACACCCACACACACACACAGAGAAACAAACAAAGAACAAATGCATGTCCACACACACACAGTCAGTTGTACCTTATGAGTAGGTGTAACTGGTGTTCTGTAGGCGTATCTCTCGATCTCAGCCGTGGGTGTTTTGGAACGTCCAAGTCCTGACAGCATCTTCCGGACACCTACACACAAACACCGTTAATATAACACGACAACACAACACTTTAAGGAACAAATGAAACATTAGAAACGGTACCAGACGTGGTTACATTTCTCCAAGTAGCAAGGTGATGACTGTACTAACGGAACAGACAGACGCAGATGCAAGCCACATGTATTTAAAACATTTCCATTTCACCAACAATCAAAAGTTATAAACACTTTAAATTGATTTCGTTTACACTAATGGCATTTTTAGAACGCCCAGTCTGCCTTCTTGTTGCCTTACTTCCTGAAGATGCAAACTTCTCCTGAATAAAACAAAAGTAAAATGTAAAGGAAGGCTTTCAAAGTGAAAGACATGACGGCAAAGAAGAAAGGACTGGAAGACTTAAAAATATTATTTGATCTTTGATTTCTGTTCTTAGAGATCTGTCACTCAGAAGAACTCTTTGTATGAAGTTCTTACCTGGTTTGTTGTTGGTCGGTTGAGGACTTACTCCTCGGCTGCCCCGGGGCATACTGGGAGCAAGCAGACTGGCCTGGTACAGAGAGTCCAGCTCTGAAAGCTCCTCATCTGGCATTGCTTCCCCTCCTACTGTTGCATTCTGGGAGCCGTAGTATCTGTTGACGTTCTCTGCCCAGCGCTCCACAGGCAGGGCCGCTCTGTAGTCATGGCTGGGGGGCAGGGAGGGAGCTAGACCGGGCCAGCTCACAGTCGGTGGGGGGGCACTTGAGAGGGACTCTGGTGGGGAGTAGGGGGGTGAGCTGAGTGGTGGGTCAACAGGGGAATCAACGGCATCAGGATGGTCCGGGCTTAGACAGGACCAGTTCCTGGTTGTATTGGTGGAAGGAGGCAGGGCTAGCCTGGCGATGTGGGGGGTAGTGGTCTGAGGGTGTCTGTAACTCTCTTCCTCCTCCTTCATCATCAGATGACACCTGTCATTGGAGTCAACAGGTGATGGGGTTTGTGAGTACTGCCTGAGTTGGGGGGCTTCCCTTGTTGGAATAGACACAGGAGGTGTTCTGGTCCACTTAGCAGGGAGGTCCGCATCCTCAGGTGCAGGGGGTGGAGCCAAGTCCTCAAGAGAGCTCTGCTCCAAAGGGTCCACACACAGAGCCGGGAGGGACCCAGTGCTTGTGAGCGGTTTTCCAAAGTGGGAGCAGGGGCCCTTGGTTCTGCTCTCTTCCCTGGATGAACTTGCAGCAACCCCGATGATTGAGTCTGAGGGAACTGAGCTAGGAGGGAGGGGCTTAACAAGGCAGGGAGAAAGAGGCCGGGGCTGCTGCTCCAGACTGTCAGATGACTGGTCCTCCTGTCTCTCAGTCAGAAGTATTTGGAGCGAGAGAGGCTTTTCACTGCAGAGAGAGAGAGAGAGGGTGAGACAGAGGGAGGGAGAGAGAGAGAGAGAGGGTGAGACAGAGGGAGGGAGAGAGCGAGAGGGGTGTAAGAAAGTGTCTGTGTGCATCTATGTGTGTGTTTTGGAATGAATGCAGCATGTTTAGAGCAGATGGTTACATTCAAGAGCACCAGCTGGTTGTGTGTGTGTGTGTGTGTGTGTGTGTGTGTGTGTGTGTGTTTCCTGGGAAGTGTCAATGATCTCTAACCATGGCTCACCCTCTGAATGTTCCTGTGTGATGGTATAATGTAGACCTAATCTCTATAAACAGATATCTGCACATTAATGCTGAGTTCATAGGCGATGGAATGTGTTTTGGTATCAGAAGGATTTTGATTTTTTGATTTAAAGGCAGGGTAGCATTTGCAGAAGAAGAATCTGTTTGATGCCTTTACAGCTGAAATATTGTTAACATATCAAAACAAGACTTTTGACTGGTCTAGCAGACTACAGGTGATACCTGGGCTGTTCCTGGTGCTGCTGCCCCTCCTCCTCATGTTGCTCTGGTTGATGTGTCCCTGTCTCTGAGTCCTGCTGCTGCTGCATTTGCATGCGTTGCTGCAGACTGCGTGCTCTCCTCATGCAGCGCTGCAGCCGGCTGAAACTACTAGCTCCACCCTCAGCCGCCACCAACTGCAGTTTAGCTGCAGCCGGGTCACATGACAACAGAAAATACACAAACAGAAAGAAAAAAACGAAAACAAAGAGAAGAAAGGAAAAAGGAAGGAAAAAGAAAAAGATGCAAAAATTAACTTGTGATGATTTCATGCAAAAATCTTTAAAAACAAATACACCAAAAAACTAAACATTAGACTGCTAACATGACGGTGCATGTGTTTCTTATGGGATGGTAGACATGAGAAATAGATGCAATAAAAGATAAACCAACCAAATTGGTTCTTAAAAATGAAATGTTGAAATGATATGAAGACAAAACATCAAATTAAAAAAAGTTAAAAAAAAAATATTAGGACAAACTCATATATATGAGTATACTAACTATATATGCTAACCCTAGTGTAATAATATGTGAATCAACATGCAAATTCTGTGGAATAGGGCTATAACACCAGCACTTCAAAGTTACAGGCTCCAGGGCAAATGTGCAATTACACCAGTACTTAATCATCATAATCATCTGCAATACTCCATCACTTTTGCACTTTAATACTCTGGCACTTTGCCTCCTGAAGACGGACTTTAAGCCCATTGACATCACACAGCCACTTTTAATGCTTGTATATATGTGTCTCTGTCAGCTTAAGTACAACTTATGTTGTTTGTTTTTGCCTGTCATTGTGGATTCATGTAAATCTGTATACCTGTGTACCACCAACCTGCCAAGTGACTACAGATTGAAGTTAGCCTATAGCTACAATCTGGCATATTCAAATGTTTATATTCATTAATGTGCTCTGTCCCTACTCTTAAATAAATACACAAATAAAAGGAGGAAAGTAAAAGGATCATTCTGGTGTCTTAGAGCTTTTGTTAGAATTTTCTGATTTTTATGAGCTGTCACCTAGTCAGCAAGTCAGCAAGTCAGCAAGTCAGTCAGTCAGTCAGTCGTATTTTCAGTTTCCAGATTTATCATTTATTCAACTTTATTTAAAGACTGAATAAATGTGAAAGGTAAATAAATACCAACTATTTCTTGTAAACCCTGTATATCTTCCATTAGCTGTGAGCACTTTTCTTTTACACTGCAAGGTTATTAAGAAATCTATTTTTTTAACCTTGTTACCTTTAAGTTTTGCTGGTAGAGCAGCACAAATCAACCATTTTTACACTCTTGACCATTTTTATCTCTAATTTCAGTTAAGGTCGTCTTTTATGGTGGGGTCATGGAGTTTATTTATTCAGGAGATGAAAGGATCTTTGTTTTTTTGGGATTGGAGGCTGGAATAATCCATCCCCTTTTCTCACACTGGAAGACCTGGGAACCATCATTCTTTGACAGTGATGTGAGGGCATGGACACAGGAGGAGCCAAGATATATTCTATATTGTTTAGTTGAACACACAAGCAGTGATGTCCATCTTTAAACCCCCTGTAACAACATCCTTTAAAGATGAACCATAACACTGACAAATACGGCAACAGTGAAATTCACAAATTTATTTTCCAAATCTGTTGTGTGTCTATGGTTTTTATTAATAAACATACAGCTCTCACAATACCGTCATCTATTTTTAACTATTTTTGTCACATCGCTTCATTGACTGTAGATCGCTTAAAAGCCCTCAAATGTTTGTTGTTCTTGAAGAAACTCCCATGAACTCTGTGTTCTGAAGATGTCACTTTGGAACCGTTTCTGAAACTTTCATACAAACTTTCCAACATCAGTATTTGTGGTTTCTCCGTGTCTGACAATTGTTGTACCTCTCCATGTCGTATTTCATCAGAACTTCGGCTTCTGGAAGATGATGATGCTGTGACGAGTTTTATTAGAACAAGAAGAGGTGTGTTATCTGCTGAAGCTAGTTTCACTGGCCATTTTCTCTTCCTGCTGTGTCCATGTAATTATTTTGACGGCTTTTCTTTAATCATCTTGTCTTTGTCTTTTATCTGTTTTTAGTCAGTTTTTCATCAGTTAGGGTTTTTTGTTGAAAATAAATGACTAAGTTGGTTATGCATTGAAGACAGTCTGCTGGATGAGGCAGTGTGGGTGTGTGTGTGTGTGTGTGTGTGTGTGTGTGTGTGTGTGTGTGTATAATTGACAGATTAAATGAAATGAAAGAGAGATTGAGGTATGGGGAGTCTAAATGTGTGTGTATGAATAATGTTACACACAAACAAGTTGGAGTCTCAGTTGTTGATATCAGATTTCAGCAGGCCACTGTGATGCCTGTGGTTGCCATTAGAAACCAACCAGGGGGTTAGTGGGCGGGGGAGATTCATGGTGTTTATCTGGTAAATATAAGCGACTGTGAGGCAACATTCACTTAGAATAGATAGCAGCAAGCACTTGCCACTGCTATCTACTCCATCTTGAGTTCTGATTCACATAGGCTAATGATATTCAAGCACAAACAGGCCCAGAAGGTTTCTTTGCTCTGTGCAGGTGAGTCTTGTTGTGTGGCGCATTGTGCAGTCTGCACCTCTCATCCTGACCAAGCTCAATTCTGTCCACATACAAATGATGAGCTGGATGGGGAGGGGTTTCTTTTTAATGTGACGTCATGTCTCGACAGATGTGAGAAATGTATCACTTTGCTGCGTGAAGCCTTCAGACCTTCTCCACACATGTACAGAAAGGTGCCCATTTGCTTCATAGACTGATCTAACCACTGATTATAAAAATAATGGTAATCCAAAGGTAGGCTTTTCATGGAGAGAATAGAGAATATTTATTTTTAGGTCTAGCAGAAGTAAAATTGTTGTCATGATTACTGTGAAGTTTAAACCTGATGGAGAGATTATCCTCTGAGGTGGGTTTCTGCTGTCTTTCCAGCTCTTTGCACTTGTTCATTTGTCTCCTCCTGCTGATCAGCAACTCCTCATCCTTCTCTCTCCAGCATTGCTCCATCTCGTTGTTAAGCAGTGAATTAAAGCAGCTCCATCTTTTCTAAGTTATAAGAGCTTGCTTTTTTTTTTTCCCCCACACAGCGATCTTACTTTGACTTTCGGACTAAAGGTCTTCCTTTTCCTTCTTGGGTTCCTCTCAGGCTGCATTTTGTTCTGTGTTTTGAACAAACTTTTTATCGTCTGGTAGATTCAGCCTTGAAGAAAAGCAGCTATTGAAAGTTTCTGAATGTTTCTGATGAATACTAACCAATCAGAGGTCGGACTTAGTTTTCACAAAGTGAGTCGGTCTCACAGTAATGTAACTTGTTGAGAGGCTTGTAATGATCTCAGTGCATAGACAACTGCTCTCTTCTATTTAAAAAAAACTGCTGATGTCAGCATAAGCACAGACTGAAAATAATCCTTTGAAGGTAAAATTCAACAAACATCGTCAAAAACACTTTCTCACGCACACACACACTCAGCATCACCAACAAACAGAAACTTACTAACAAGCTTAACCATAACACATGTCCCATATAATATTGCCATCCAGGCAAATTAAACTACTACCCTGTTACTCTAGAAATCCCACAGTTCACTGTTTATTTGTTTTATGGCTCTTCACTGATGTTCTTTAGTAATATAGGTTGAATTTATAGAACTAAAGGAAAATATTTACTTAGAAATGGTTGTGACTTTGATTTGGAAAAAAAGCTCCACTGCTTCAGGGTTCAGCCGAAGTCTAAAACTGATTATTACAGTTGTAAAAAGAGAAGTGAGAAACAAACCTTGGAGAGCAGTCGTGGCTTTAACCCTTTGTGAATATGAGGGTGTCTTTTCGTCTCCTTCGCTCAGGTTTAGCAGGTACAAAAGCTGTGCAACACTCTTATGAATCAACCCCTGTGAACGTTTCTTAATTTGTGTGAGTGTGCTTAATTGAGGAGGTGAGGTCATAAAAAAAGAGTGGGAGGAGCTTACAGACTGCTTCGTTGACAGCTGACAGTGCAGCGGCAACCTCCCCAGCTTGCTCCAGACGCACCGACTGGTCCAGTAGAAGCTCCGCCTCTGACACACATCGCTCAAAGCCATCACATTTACCTACAGCATCAGCACAGGGAGAGACAAACACACGGCATTAACACATTTAGCGTATTATGGGGGCTGGGCTGCAGGCCAAAAAACTGTGTTTTAGGTGACTGAGTGTTACTGAATTCTTAATAAGAAGAGAACTTAGTGACTGACCGAGTGAAACCGTTTTTTCTCCAGTATTAAGGTAAGTTTACAGAGGGAGTCAAACAAACAACAGCACAAGACATGATAGAGTGAGAACAGTGCTCAATACCAAAAGGGTAACCTCTGAAAAAAAAAACCAGAATAAAAATAAACCGTAATAACCAGGTGAATAAAAAACAAGATAGAAATGTGCCATCGGTATGATAAGGGAATACAAGATAAAAATGTTCAGAGATGAATAATAATATGCAATATTCATTTATAAAAAAAAACCCTGAAATTGCAAATAATTTTAGCTAAGGCCATCTTCAAACAAATAAGAAAATTCTTATTTATGGGAGGAGTTCAATTGAAACCTAACCAAAAAAAAATGTTGAAATGCTGAAAATGTTGCTGTGTAGATCAAAGTTAATGCTGAGAGAAGCATGCTTCGATATGCTCCTTTTATTTTTCACAACCCTCTTTGGCCTGTACCTTTATGTTGAGGGAAGCATTGGATCCAGGCTATTCAGGCCTGCAGCAAATGAAAACTTCAACCACATTATAAGATTTTAGACCGATCCAGGCATATTTGAGGGTGTTTTGCTGGTCATACTCTAAGTGGTTATTTCTGAGAATCTGCTTTGTACACCAGATGAAATTATTACACTGAGAGCCGGTTGTAAGTAAACTCAATGTTGATATTAAAGATGAAGAAATAATTAAATTTTCATTTCATTTCATTCTACCCATAGTCCTGTTGGAGCATTCTAGTGTTTGAAGTTGATGGAAAGAGAAAAGAAAAAGGCAGAAAGAAAATAAACTTACCACAAACAGTAATTTTAATGACTTTTAGTTGATTTTGTTGACCAGTACCATTAAAAACGTCATCAGACACACAAGAAAGTAAACATCTCTATAACCTAACATGCCCCTCAACCCCCCCTTCCCATCCACCCACAACACACACACACACACACACACACACACACACACAGAAATACACACAAATGCCAACACAAACAGGCTTCACTACTGTGTGAGCCATTTTATCTTTTGTCTTTTGTGTATCTGCTGAGTCGGCCCTTTCAGCTACTCAATGAGGAACATTCCTGTTGTTTGACACACACACAGACACACACAAAGATACACACACACGGGAAAGTACACACTTTGTATAAGATGTCTGAATGCTATTATTATTGTTACTGAGTGAACCACATCTCCCATGATGCCTTGTTCATTGTTGATATAACTTAAAGGAATGTGTGTGTGAAAGTGTGTGTGTTTCTTTGTACCCTGGATCTGCAGCTGGTCCAGGTCCAGGTACTTGCTGGGTCGGGGGTTGAAGCCGAGCGCTGCCTCCCTCTCCTTCTCTTGCCGTCTCTGCTGCTCCTCTTCCCTTGCTCTCTTCTGCACCTCTTCCTGCAGCTCATCCAGTTCACTACGGCCTGCTGGGGGCGCTGGAGAAACACAAACAAAGACAATATAGTAAAATACAGTGACAATACAGTTTTAAGTGTCAACACTTGATGACACAGGTGTTGTCATGATTAAGTCGGTTGTGAACCAGGGCTCTCATGAGACATTTAGATCGATCTGATTTGTCCGTCTGGCTGACATCGTGATAGAAGTTCAATGAAAAGACAACTGTTTGATACCAATTGTGCCCAAAAATCAGAGACACAAACACACATGCAGATGTGACGTACCAAGGTTCCCCCTGCTGGACGAGCTGAGCTCCTGCAGCAGAGCTCCGCTGCTCTTTGACCTCGAGTTCTTCCATGCCGGTCCTGAAGAAGAGGAAGAGGGCGGAGCTTTCTTCACAACACACTCCCTGAAGAGAAGAGAAGCACAAAAAGATTCATTTGAGTAAATCTAAATAAAGTTATATTTCTGGCAAGCAGCCACAGTGACCCGTAGTGTTTCGGATCAATAAATTATCTAACTCACGAACAAAGAAAGCTCCTGTTATGGCTACTTCCATTCAGCCATCTTGTTCTTCTACCCTGATGTAAACCAGCACAGTGGACAAATGCAATGTTTAAGCGTAGAGAAGTCTGTGGATGTTAACCTACAGGAGGACTGAAGGCTGGGGTGTTACCACTGCTAATGGTAGCCACACTCAGCAAACCACTTTGACAATATTTACTCACAGAGGCAGTGCTCCTGTGTTAAGTCGTGTTAAATGTATTGTGCTCAATTTTGACTGTTCTCTGAGTATTTCCTTAACTTTGGACTAGCTTACTGAATTTAAGGGTTAGGGTTATATCTAACAAAAATGCTTCTAGAAGACTCAGACGCTTCTGAGTCAAGACTTCAAATACTCAATGGCTTCATACTGTAGGCAATCTCTGTTTGCTCAAAAACAACAACTTGATGAGGTACGTCATTGTTCCCACCTGTCTACCAGGTTCAGGTCCAGGCTGACTGGGCTGTTGCTGTTCCTCTCACTGCTCTCGTATCCACTTTCCATCCTCTGGATCAGCCTGGGAGGAGGGGGAGGAGGAGGTGGCAGCTCTGCTCCTCCTAGTCTGTCTCCAGCTCCTCTGCTGGAGGAAGTGGGTAGAGTCCAGGAGGAGCCTGGCCTGATTGATGCCACCCTCGCCTGGCCGGGCAGGGACGCGTCTGCTCCCACTGTGGTTGCAGCTCCACTGTCGTCTGAAAGGGAGGCTCCAAGTGGGCTGTACCCCGCCTGCCTGCGCCTTTCCCGAGTAAAGATACTGTCAATGTTGAGAGCCTCCCTTCGTGGCCTCCATGCTGGTCGGTACCTCCCTGACCCTGCTCCCCCTGAGCAGCTGGACTTGGACTCGCTGCTGGTGCTGTCGCCTCCCAGTCTTGGGGTTTATTGGAGGAGGAGCATGGAGCAGTAGCACTGGCAGGGTGGTGGTGGTGGTGGTTGTTGGTCGTGGAGGTGATTTCGGCGAGGACAGCAGCTGGTAAAGAGGAGGAGGAGGAGGAGGAGAGGGGTCTGTTGTGGATGATGTTACTCATGGTCTCCCTTAAATCTCGCAGGCGGCTGGTTGAGGATGAGAAGGAACAGGAAGGTTTGGGGAGGTTACGAGGAACCTTCTGCTCCTTTAAAGTCTCACCTGTGGGGAAGGAAAGATGGAGGGGAGAAGGAGGGAAGAGAGCAACAGGAGTGAGGAGATAGAAGAAGTAAAGTAGTAAAGAAAAAGGGAGGAAATACAATATAGATATGAGTAAAGTAATTAGTATGTGTAAAGGAGAAAGATGAGAGGAGGACAGAAGAGATAAAAGAAGAACACACAAGGAGGAGGTAAGTAAGTGAAATTTGGAGAGCGGAGAGAATATAGTGAAGGACAAAATAGTGAGTATAAAAACACAAGTAAAATACAAGTAAAGTTACATCATCGTGCCGACTGGATGAAAGACAGAGAAAGAATGATTTATGAATGAAAACTAAAGATATGAGATCAGCAACACAAGTTCTTCTTTGTTTGAGTTCGACTTTTATTTTTTGATTCTATCTTTTTTAAACCACAGAGGAACTTTTGAAGCCCAAATTAAAGCATCAACAAAGAACTTGACCTTTTATCTAACTTCCTAAATGTCCAGGTTTCTCACTGGTTCGCTCTAAAAAGACTGACTTTAATGCAACTGTTTGCTTCTAGAGACTAGAAAATTAAATGACCTGGGAAAAATTATTATACAAGAATATTATCAGGCCATATAACTTGCTTAAGAAAAGTTCAGCAGCTATTTAGGATAGATGTTTAAATCTTATATCAATTATAAATTGTATTTATTTGCGGGTTACTTTTGTTAAACTTTATGGTTTTATTTGTTGTAATCCTATTTTAAGTCTGTCAAGATGTTTGAACTGTACTTGTGTATTTGCATTTTTATTAATTATTTGTTTTATTTATAAAATCTGTTCTTAGTCTGTTAGGAACATTGTGAGTATTATAGTATTATAATAATCTTTATTAGAAAGACTTGTTGTGCTTCTTTTTCCTTTTTATTAGAATACTATCACCCTATGTCTAAGTGGTGGTATAGGAGTTGTAGTAATATAAATAGATATAGTATAATTAGTTCTTAAATTAACCATGTAATAATGTTGAGTGTTTGTTAAAGAAACACTAAAAGCAGATTTATATTTTTCTGGCTTTTAATACTAAAACTCAAAATAACTACAGTTATTCTTTCTGCTCTGTGATTGGCCCTTTTGTCCAAAGCCCCCAGCCCATTAATTGCACAAATCCCGCCTACCCTCGCTGTGGTAACCGGCTGACGAGGCCTCGTTGTCTTGTTTAGATCGCCGGTGGCGGCTAGAGCTCCGCCTCCTATCCCCGGCCCCGCCTCCCTTCCTCAGAGATTGGTGTTGCTCACTGTCCGTCGCGTGGCCTTAGCAACAAGAAGCATGGCAACAGATGTTTACAGCATGATCACAACACTGCTCCACACAGTGACAGAGAAGGAGGTGATGAATATGAAAGATTGATTCGTTTTACATTCAGTGACTGTTCTCCTCTCAAAATAAGACGCTCAAATCGAATGTTATGGGAGTTTTTAAACGAAGGCAGCCAAGCAGGACGTATTGTGACTTAGTAACCACATGAAGAACAAACAGCTGATGGTCTGTGGTTTATGAAGCAGCTGACACCACACAAGATGACTTCCAATTCTTGTTTTTTTTCCCCTTCAGAAAATCTCTTTAGATATTTTTGGGAAACATGTATAACATATACACCTGAGGTATACTGTGTTTTAGAGTCTGGATACTCAGGAATTGTTTTGGCCCTTTAAGTCTTTCTAATGCTTGATTTTAACCCACAGTCCAGAATATAGTAAATAATCAAAGCATTAAAGCTGCCACTGGAAATTATAGTCAATCAACCAATGAAATTCTCAATTGATCCTCTGATGTGGAGTTTCACACTCCTTATTTGTATGACCACTTTTGCTGTAAAGTGCGTGGACACACACGCACACAAGTGTTTTTAATTACCGCACTCTGCATGACAAGACCAGCACAGGTTGAAAATAGGTGGCGCCATGGTGAGAATGTATGATGCAATAAATTCTAAGCTTCAACAACTATAATAACAAGTTTACAAGTTCTCTTACCCAAACAGGTTCTACAAAATTAACAGGGTTAGTTAGTAGGGATTAGTTTATTTGACTTTTTACAGTTCAAAACAATAACAGAACCATACTAACAATCATAACCAGAATGACATTACACTATCTACCTGACCTGTCTTTACCCGACTCTTTTAAATGTTTGGTTTTTTTTTTCAACCAAGAAGACCTTTCAGGCCACTCCAGTTACCCACCTAAGGTATCCAGGCTGCAGAGCGAGGTGTGCAAGGGTCCGTCCGGGTGCTCGATGCAGATGACAGTTCCTTGGGAGTCAGAGGAGTAGTGACTGGCCAGGGACTCATGGTGTGAGTGGGAGGGCTGTCGGTACGAGTAGCTCTCCGTCGAAGAATCGGTGCGAGTGTCGCTGGAGATCGACTGCTCACGGCCTGGTTGAGGGGGTGCAGGGATGGGTTAGTACACAAGTTGGGTCGTCAGTGAAGATGTCCATGTGCTCATAAAAACACACACACAAAATCTAAAAGATTATATATTATATAACACTGCTACCACGACAATTAAGACTTCTGCTACAAGAACAACAGCCACAACAACCACTACTTCTGCAACTGTTAGCTGACTTTGAGTTACCTCAGACTCATCTGTCAAAGAACTACCACCACTACAACAAGTACCACTAAGTCTGGTTTATTTACCTGAAAGTTTGCTGTTGTGCTACTACTACGACTCCTAGCTGTGTTGTAGTTACCCGAATCTTCGCTGTCGTAACAAGCCTTGTGGAGCTGTTGGAGATCGAAGCTTGGGGGAAGGTCCTGCACTGACACTGGAGTCCCACGGGGGTCGGCGTAGAGCAGCAGCAGAGGCTGGTAGTGGCCCTTGATGCAGCGAGACACTACGTCCTTCCACTTGGGACCGATCTGCAGAGGAGCAACAAGGACAAGCAGGAAAGGATAACTGTCAATAAAAATAACTGATAATGCGTCAAACACTCACACATAGAAATACAGTCCCTCAGATGGTGCTAAGCTCTGAAGCTCATTGAACACTTTTTATTTGGCAATAAGCAAACATTTTGAAAGTGGTCTCTAACTCCAAAGGGTGAAGACCATCTTTTGATGGTTAGAGGACAATGAGATATGAATGACTACAAAAATAAAAACCAGACCTAGAAAAAGGCTTTCTCAGTAACAACTGTGGCATCATTTGTTTGCTAAAGAGCATGAAAGAAATTATGATTATGATTTGAGTGAACATATTTAATTTATTGTTTTTATTCTACTAAGGATCCCCAATAAACATAGTGATTGATCATTATTAAGAAAATTAACGAGCAGAATCTTTTCCTTTATCATCGTTATCTGCAATCATTCAGAAAAACATAACTGTTCTGGACCCCGGGTCCACTGTGTTTGTGAAGTTCAGTGTTCTTTGTTACTTTCATTACTTTCTTTCATTATTTAGTAAAGCTGAACCGAATCAAGTTTAAAGGAGACTCTAACCAATTCAAATGTAAATTGGTCCATTCCACCCTGGATCTCGATTCACTTCTTAAACCAAATTCAAACACTAAAATCCAACTCAGCCCGAGTGATGTCACATGCTCATATATAGAAGATATTTAAGATTAAAACCAAACTTTCCGGCAGACGTCTTGAAGAAGAAGCTTTGGAGTACAGCAGCAGTAAACACATGTAGTTCACCTTGATAGCACCGCTCAGCAGGTAAAACAGTGACAGCAGCTGAAATGTTCGAGGCTGTTGCAGCCCCTGCTGCGTCAGGCTTCCTGCCCTCTGTCCGCTTGTCTTTTTGTGCGACAGAAATCCTCCCGTTTGTTATTTCAACCTTTACTCCATTTTCCAAAAGTCCACATTCATGTCCATCTCTTCGACCTAATCAGACGTCACAAAATCCAAATCGGCAACCTGTCCATCAACCGTGTGTCGCTGGGTGTGGAAAAATGTGTGTTTGTTCAAGAGGAAGATAGATATAAAATGAAAGTGTGCAGCGTGGGCAAAAGTGTCGGCTGTGGTGGGATATGTGTGTGTGTGTGTGCGTGCGTGCGTGTGCTCAGACCACACCCTCAGTTCTGTCCAGCTGTACTGATAAACAATGGAGGGATATCCTTGTTTTTACAAAGAGCCCAGAGAGGGGGACAGAGAGAGAGAGAGAGAGAGAGAGAGAGAGAGGGAATGTGATATCTCATTCCAACACTGTTATTAGAGTGCAGCAATAATAGAAAACAAAGCATAACATGGAGAGAGAAACTAATTTCAGTTTGAGAGTTTAACAGGAGACAGAAGGAGGCTGGAAAAGGGGGAAGAAGAGGACAGTCAGAGCAGGGAGGAGGTCAGAGGGAGAGACAGGAGAGGAGCTAGGATGGACAGGAAGAGAAAGAGCACAGATTACAACATGAGGTAATTTCCTGTCCTTAAACTGGCACGTCAAACATCTGTGCCTCTTTACCTGTGAGGACACACAGTGAGATAAACAATCCCCCTGCTTCTAGTGTAAAAAGATCTTTCTGTTGCATCTACTATATGATTATTCATAATTATCCTAGCCTTGATATGAACTATAACTAAGTTCTGAATGATGTATAGCTTCAATAAAATCTGTTGCACTGTGACGTTAAGAAACAACACAACTGTAAGTTAATACTAATAACACATGCTTCTCTCAGTATGAATTCAAAAGCATAGCGACCACATGCCATTTCGCAACACAGTAATTCAATAGAGATAAGTTCATCATAATAGTAATCTAAGTTTTAAACAAACTTTCTGTGGTTTGCTTTGATGGCAACGCAAGCTCTGTCTTTATCCTACAATGGCTTGCGTCTGAAGTTGTAGTTTTCAAAGTTGTCTGACCAATGTTCTTTGCTGATTTAGTAATGAACAAATATTTACAGAGTAGGGGTGTCCATGGATTAGATAATGGAACCTGATTGGTCAGATTTTGCCTTTGTCAACTGATAATTGAATGTCTTTTTTTGAGCTCATTGATCCATGCTATCATTTGAAACAGAAGACATAAACCAAGAAATAGAATTGGAATAACGATTTATTCTATGATAGGACTTCATTCATCCTTTTTCTCTCATCAAGTCTGCATCATGGTGACTTTATAATGATATTACACAGGCCCATTTACAATACCTTTCCGTTGCACCTGCTGTCACTTTCATTTGCACCAAAGCATGGGAAATCCATCATACCCCACGCTTCCATTAAGTTGAACTTACTTAGTGTTAAATTATTTCAATTAATTGTTACCTTAATGTTTTTGAGAAGTGATTATCACAATGCACAAAACCCTCACTAACTGGTGTGGCTCGTGTGAAAAAGGGGACGGGGAAGGCGTCCACAGATCGTTAAGTCAAGTTCCAACCAGGGACTTTATAATCAACATCTGTGACACAAATGCAACCTGAACACTACCAAGCACTGCATGTTACATCATGCATGACTGAGTATACCTCCTTGACGTGTGCATCATCAAAGTACATCCATCTTCGAATCTTCGTCTGGAAGAAGAAGGTAGAGTAATGTTTCCCGTAGTAACACACCATGCCCACCAGGTAGAGCTCTGCCTGACGAGCCTTCTCCTCCGTCACCCTATAAAACAACTGCAGAGAGAGAAGAACACAAAAGATGAGTTCATCAAAGAAGCTGAGCTAAACTATTTTCTTTCACTGTATGCTGATGACACTGATATTTCCCAAAGTGCTTGTTCAGTGTTAAACCCTTACAACCATAGAATAGAAATGCTTTACCATTGTCTTCCAGTGGCATTTTTTCCCAGAAGCTAAGCCAGGCTTCCCCAGTTTTTCAGACTAATATCAATTAAATGACTAATGTCCTAAAAATTAAACACTTTGTATAATAGTTTCGATCATTCTTCTGTGCTGCTGCTGCTGCCATCTCTGATCTTCCCCGATGTCTTATTTTACCCGTGAAACAAAGCCCCTTTATGTGTTATGTGGTAGACGTGTGGTGAAATGATGGTGGCTGTGATCTAATTCGCTTCAGTCTTAGAGGATGCCTGTTTAAGCTGGCATCCCTTATTAAAAAATAAAAGAGAATAACCCAATCAGATGAGGCCATGGTCATACGACAGCCAAAACTGTAATTAGTCAGGACTCATGAAATGACAGGAAAAACCCCTTAGACTGCTGTTATTAGCAAGTGCAGTTATGGAGGCAGGAGATTCAGAGTTTATAGTAACAAACAATCTTTCAGCAATCTAACTCAGAAACTAAAGCTATGAACAGAGATGGAAAAAAGGAAGAAGCTGGACTTTTATTAATAGAAATTAGTCAAAATTAACTGCAGCTGAAGTTTAACACCATCAGCTAACCACTGTGTAGGGTCAATAATGATAATATTCCACCACCATGAATGACAGATGAATATTCCTCTTCAAAAAGGTGATAGATGTTTACGCATCCCCTTCACTGTTTCTCTGCTCATGTGGCCATGTGAGAATTCAGTGACGTGGTTATGACACTTACTTTGTGTGACTTGTCTGGAATTACCTCAGTTTGTTAGTCAGGTCATTGAAATAGATATTTTGTTGCAGATGTTTGTTTGCAGAAATAATCAACCATGGACAGCATAAGTATGAGGTTTCCAATCCCTGGTTAAGATTCAGGTTAGGTTACCTGAATAGATGGTGCTGTGATTGTTTTAAGCCTCTGCAGTTGCGGTAGGTGTTAAGAATGGAAACCATTTGTGCATGTCAAGCCCTTACAACAGGGTTTGTGTGTTTGATCGCTTAGATGTAACCCGCTGAGCGAGAGAAAGAGAGAGTGAGAGGGAGAGCGTGTCTGTGTCGTGTGTTTTCTGGTGTGTGCAGATTCTGGATCTGTATGATATAATTGTGTGTGTGACAGGAGCTTACTATTTCTCTTAACCGGCCCCCGGACAAAAAAACATTCATGTAGGTTAGAGGTGTTGTCTCACATGGCCTTCTCAAATATTTTCCCCACTCCATTCCACTCACGCCTACAATATTTTAGTGTATCGTAATGTTGGTTTTCAGATTTGTTTTCTACATTTCCACATCCCTAGAACATTAAAGAAAATGTTATGTAAGTCAGTTCACAATAAGAACTCCTAAAAGCAATTTAATTAAAAATGTACAAAATCTGAACTTTGTTCATCTATTTATATAATATAAACTGAAAATATACTGAACCAAAACAAGTGAGGAAACATTACCAACATATTTCTCACACTTTGTTATTTCTTTGTTTTTGCTTTTCCTGAGCAGACTGAAATGTTTTGATGGTTTGTTTGGAATAGTTATACATTAGTATTTTACTTGTTTTTTATGACTTTAAATATTTTCAAATCCCCCAAAAAAGGTTGAACTTAAAGGTTACGTGAGGTATGGTAGGTAATCCTTTAACACTTTGATTTTGATTCATTTGTACTACATTGCTAAACGATCTCCCTTGTCTGCCAGAGAAATATATTTTTCAGAGAGTTTAAAAAATGTCTTACATCCCCCAGATGCAGGCAGGTTCCCAGAGTGTGTATGACGTCTTCAGCGAGGTCTGAGTGATCAGAGTCCCAGACCAGACCGATGGTGATGATCTCTGGACTGTTGAGGAGGACACGAGCCATCCTGAGCTGCTGGCCACACTGACTCTGAAGAGGAGGAGGACAACGTTTACATTAGTATGAAGCAGTTCAAATTCATTCATTTAAGAAACTAACAATTACATTTTTGATATTTTTATTTGACTTGTAAAAATGGACACCGATAAAATATCTCACCGGACAGCTGCGCAGGTCGCCCATGCTGGCGTTTCTCAGAAGCTCCCCAAACATGCCAGGAGTTGCTTTCTCCCTCGACTCCAACATCTTCACTGCCTGGTTACTGAAAAAGAAGATGAGGAGACGTGATCTCTCCTTTCTCAATTGACTTTAACAGCCATGAAGTTTGAATTAAATTGTATTTTAAAAAGAAAGAAAACACACAGATACTAATGGGTTCACTTCAAGGAATTTAAAGGATATAAGTAAGAAACAACTTTGTTTATGTGGTGGTTTGATAACAGGAGTAAAGAAGCTACATCAACCCACAAAAACATGAAATATGACTCTTTATTTAGTGAACAGATCAGAAGAGGAAATCTCTTCAGAGTTGGTTTAGTTCAGTGAATGGATGAGTCTCATCTTCATACTGTGTAGGGGTAGATAATCAATACAGCACACTGCAACATCAAAGGAGCATACGTATTGTTTTACTTTGTTAAATAAATTGTTAAACATTTTAAATTATTAACTAGTGCACTGTTGTGTAGACTTGAGCCATTTCACAGTCATCATTTCATTTTTGGACCACTAGAGGCAGCATAGCATTATGATACCTTTCTTTTACGTTTCACCTGTATCCAATGAGGGGTACCGGTAGTTAGTTTACATTTGGATCTAAAAGGGCTGACTCATGTCAGTACAGCAGGTCCTCCTGCAGCCTTTACTTTAAAGAAAGTCAAAACGTTTTCCAACCATTTAGGGGAATAAAAAAGATTGGATCTTACTTGTCAGACTGCCATGTTTATTTTTGTTACATGTGTCAGCCACATAAAAATGACGTATTGGTAAGTAAATGTGGCAATACTAAAAACAGACCATATGTGTCATGAGACTGTACTGTAGCACTAGTGATTTTGCATTACGCTATAGGAAAAGCGAACGTAAACGCAGACTGTCTGAGCAGTGTGAACGAGACAGACCAGACACATGCTGAACAGAGAATTTTTAAGCATTTTCTGTTAATACTTGACTGAGTTTTTAAAAATATAAACTTTTATTCAACTGGACTGTAGAACATACATGCCAACTGCCTCTCAGTTCACATTCACACTATATCAGTGTGAATTATATTCCGTATTTTACAGTACTTGCTTTTAGCTTTGTCTTTAGCTTCATAGTCGTAGAGGTGATTTGTTGAGTTATTGTATCATGTATAAGCACACACACACACACACACACACACACACACACACACACACACACACACACACACACACACACACACACACACACACACACACACACACACACACACACACACACACACACACACACACACACACACACACACACACACACACTTTTTCTCCACTTGATGGATGAATCACCTGTATGCATGATGCATGATTTGCACCTATGAGCAACATCTCAGTAGCCATGACAAATTAGGGGGTTGCCTTGGTGACCCTGGCAGGTTACCTAGCAACAGTAGTTGGAGGGAAGGTGTGGCCTGAACTTACCTTTTCTGAGACAAGATCTAAATATAGAGTTACACACTAACAAACACACTCTCAAAGACACACACTCAAAGTCACAAACGCACACAAAAACACACTTACCACAGGGAGGTGGTGGAGATGTAGTGGACCATTTGTATGAAAGGCAGAGGGTCTGAGGATGCTCCACAGCTGCTGCATACACACTGTCGCACAAACACACACACAGATATAAGGTAAACTTCTCATACAATACTTTAACTAGACATACACAGATATATTATGTTGTAGAAGGAATATTTTAAAGAGACTATGTAGAGTGTTATATGCCTGAAGATTAAAGACGATAAAAAGCTACATCAGTGTCAGATGATGGTTTATTGATTGGCTCTATAACCAACAAGCTCACCCTCTTTCGCTCTTTTGGAAACCAAAATGCACAAAACACAGAAAACCTTGTTCCTCTCTATCACATAATGCAATTATGTTCAGATATCTTTTTTTATATAGGATATATACTTAACATTATTTTTAGCTCAAATTAAAGGGATTATGCAAAAGAATATCTGCTTCAGCCAGATCGCTTATTACCCCTGCCTACTGTCAGCAACATCATTATGATCAAACTTTTATTTTCAACAGGATTATGCAAACAATTATCTAATTTGATTGATGATTATATATAGATGTTCTGTTTTCATACAGTTAAATGAAATGTCACTAATGTATTAAAGTCTGTCTCAAAACACATGTCTAGTCTTTCTATATGTCTTCTTATTGGATGAGATGGGAAACACAAACCACAGACCCTAGAGGTTTGTGTGATTTTTTTTTAGGTTACTTAGGCTTCGAAAGTCTGAGGTAAAGGTCTTTCAAAGTATTGTTAAGTGTATAAATCCGTCTTTGTGTTTCCATGACAGTGTTGAGAAAACACAAAGAGGGAATTTGGTAATACAATTAGCCAATTTGGGGAAACCTCACTTCGAACTCTGGGACTCTTCATTCTCAGATCACGTCTACTTCTCACCTGTTCATACAGCGTCATTGCAAACTTCTGGTGGGGGATGCAGTGTCGCGCTGTGCAGATGTCTTCCTTGGTCTCGTCTGCGATGTGAAAGTGTATCCTCATCAGGATGTTTTCCTGACAACGCACAGAACATAGACTGTAAATAAACTTAAATACTTGGTGTTTATATTTCACAGGCAGGTAAAGTGTGTGTGTGTGTGTGTGTGTGTGTTTCTTACAAAGCACTCTGCAGCGTCGTCCATGATGCCCAGCTGAAACCTCTGCTCGTCCTGGAAGGTTTTGGCGAGTGCGCTGCGAAGAGCATCGGACGGTAAGACTTTCTCACTGCTGTACTGAAACTGAGCGAAGATGCTCTTCAAAACAAGAGGCAGACGGACAGAGAGGTCAGAAACGGGCAGCTGGTCGATGACTATCTTCAGCTATCAGTCAGTCTTACTCACCTTCAGAGCGCAGAAAATGCATGAGTCCTCCATGCACTTGTGAGTCGTCAGCTGGCGGAAACTACGCCTGAAGATATCGAGGTGCCAGAGAACCTGCGAGACAGAGAGAGAGAGAACACTAGTAAATTATCACAAAGAACATTCACAAATACAAATACACATTTAGAATTCAATGAAAAGACAAATGACACGACTGTATAATGGCCGGACAAATTTGAGGATTAAAACCCCACCACTACTTTCTATCAGAAACAGAGCTCCATTTGGTGCCAAGATCTGACCCCTACATCTTCTCAGCAGACTGTGTCATTTGCCCAGAAATTCTCAAAAAAACCATCTCTGTCCAGCCTCTCTTCGTTTGACTCTGCTGTGGAGCTGGACGACAGGCGAGAAGTAGAACTATCTTGAGAAATCGAGTCTGTCCGTTTAAAATGATCACCTCTGCTGGAGGAAGTAGAGAGACGATAAGAACTCAGATTGTAAGATTCCAAAAATATGTGTGTCTCAGAACAAGCAGCAGCTGCTCACACTTCGATAAAGGGGCTTTTTGATGCCTTTAAATCAGCTCACAGCCAATCACCTGTCAGCATGCACGCCACTGACCTGACATTGCAGCCAATCAGAGAGCTTTTTTAGCTTGGTGACCTGAGGATGAGGATGTGTCAAAATCACTAGAAATGAAAGAGTGTGTTTGTGAGTGTGTATGTGTGTGTGTGTGGTGTTGGCGTGTCACACCGTGTTCATCACTCTCTCCATCTGCTTCACCAAACCATTTGAACTTTAGCGTGACAAAGACAAGAGTGTGTGAGAGAGATGGACTGTGTTTAAGTGATACTGATGTGTGTGTGCCGTTTGCGTGCGTGTTTGAAAGAGAGAGAGAGAGAGAGATGAGGGGACAAAAAAAGAGGGAAAAGGAGGACAGAGCATGATGTTTGATTCTTCAGGCAAAGCAAATGTCTTGATGAGTTTTGGCTCTCCGCCATTTTTGTGTGTGTTTGTGTAAATTTGTGTGTTGTGTGTGTGTGAGTGAGAGCCACGTGTAATTAATTAATAAAAAAGTAAAAAGTAATCAAAGCCAGTGCATTTAACACATAATTGGCCTTCAGGATTTGGCATGCAATGTGCAATAAGAAGTGCATATAAGCTATAACTCAAGGTGTTTATAGCTATCTGCTGTTCTTTATGTTGAAGACAAAGCTCATGTTGGCAACATGCTCCTCCAGAATCTGAAGTTAATCCAAACAGCAGGTGCAGCAGGCACCAGTTTATCTAAGAGTAAACGATGACAAGCTTGAGCTTCATTTTACTGCATTCAAATGGTGTGAAAGCATTGCCATTACACCCAGGCCTCCATCCACTAGCTAGAATGTGTGCAGCTGAGAGAGAAAGCATTGCTGGTTTATGAAAAGTATCTACTGCAAAAAAAGAAAATCAGACTTTGACAATGTGTTTACTTTGTTTGCTTATAGTGATGAGATCAAAACAGGATTAAAGAAACTATCTTTACCAGAAACAATCCCAAGATTAAGGGTACTTGAGAGCAATTTCAATAGTTTGTTATATTTGATCAGATATGAGGTCAGATTGAACTAATAATTTGCATGATTACTTTTTTAATAGGAGTAAGTTTCCTGTCAGTCTGCATAACTTCATTTCATGCACTCAGTTTGGACAGGAAACAGACCAGGAGGAGTGAACTTCAGTGAAGTGTTAACCTTCATCAACCATTAGCTGACTGGATGCTAATGGGCCTGTACTGTGGGAGATAAATGTGATGGCCGTGACCTCTGATCAGTTCAATTGCATCAAGTGCATCAACATGAAATTATTATTTTTGGCTGTGCTAACATTGAGTCCTAAATAGGTATTTGATTCAACTGTGACGTGCCATATAAAGCTCTGGCAGGGTTCAGGTACAGTCAAGTAGAACTGGTGCTGTACCAGCTTCTGAAAGGATTTCTATGGGCCGAAGCTTCAGTTCAGCCCGCATGAATCAATCCAAAGCCATGAAGGACAATCCACACACACACACAGGATTTTAAGCAGCTGTGACGGCAGTGTGTGAAGGGAGCCAGAAGTTTCATAACAGGATCAGAAACATCAGCGCAAACACAAACTGAGGAGCAATAGTTCACATCGTCACTGAGCTGAAGCTGCATCATTAAATCATTATGTAACATAAGAACACATTGTGTTTGAGTCTCTACGTCTCTACTCAAACCACAGTGTGACACTTTCGTCTTCAGGTGATTTCCACATAAGTAAATGAAATCTCTCCTGCTGAGCGGCTGGAATTCAGACATGCAGGAATGTTTTCATCACTTTATTTATGAGAAGGCTTTTCAAAAACATGCAGTCTGGAGGTCAGAGGAGTCGGTTTGTTTGAATCCCTGCAGTCATGTCTAAAGCTCCCTTCACTATGTTTGGAGATGAGCTGATTATTGTTTTTAACTTAAACTCGAGTACATTTAGAGAGAGGGACAACAAAAAGACAGACACTGGATTTCGTTTTAGGATGAAGACAATTACAGAAGTCAAGAGCTGAAAGGACTGATCCATAAATCAAAGTTCATAAACAGAACTGGGATCATATAAATTCAACAATTATTTTAGTAATGGAGGATTGGCATCTTTTTTTTCGGCTTCATCTGAGTGAAATCAGATGAGACACAAAAAGAAGAAGTGTGAGAAAGTCACATTAGACTCTGGCATCTACAGAATATATCAGTCACTAATGAGTGAATGGGTGAACAATCAGCAGATAAATGGTTTGAAATAAGCTGTTAGTTGACCTTAGCTAAGACCTTATTTGAAGCAAATCCTGACTGGCCAGAGAGAGAAAACATCAAATGATAAATGGTTAATGGACTTGAGCTTGTATAGCGCTTTTCTAGTCTTCTGACTTCTCACCTACTTATTAACCCCCATTCACAGACTGATGGCAGACGTCTATGTAAAGTGACCATCAGAAGTAACTAATCCATTCATACACATTCATACGCCGCTGACGTAGCAGCGGGAGCAACTTGGTGTTAAGCGTCTTGCCTAAGGACACATCAGACATGTTTCTGCAGGAGCTGGAGATCGAACGCCCAACCTTCCGGTTGAGAGACGATGACTCTACCACTGAGCCACAGCCGGATCAAGTATCCCTTCAAATTAATACTTTTGTATCTGAGCACCTTAAATAAATCGTATGACATCACAGCTTCTGACTGTGTAATTTAAAGACTGAGGTTCGTTGCAAAACTAATAGTTCCTCTCACATAATGCTTGTGATAAAAACGGCACACCACAACACATATACGTAAATAAGCAAAAAAGAAGATTCAGTGATGGAATTGTTTCAAAAATATCCTCTTTAAAATGTCAAGTCTTGTATAAAAGAAAAAACACCAACAAATGTGTGTGAGTGAGAGCTCTGAGGTGTGAATATGATGAATCATGGGACATACGTCCTCTGTGAAACATACTGTAGGGTCAGCACTTTGGGTGTGTTTGTTTGCTCTTCCTGTCCCCCCCCCACCAGGACCAATATGCTGCTTTGTCCCTGCAGGAGGAAGCTGCAGTGTTGAGCAGCCCAGGCAGGTAACAAACCTTACATGTTTACAGCACAAAGTAAACAACCATCAGTAATCTTTCTGTTGTTTTAAGGGTTATTGGTCAATGATTTAAGGTCGCTACAGAGGATTACTTTTCATCAGTGTATCTGCAGATTATGTTTTTAACCATTTCAGATCATTTTATATAATAGTAATCAAGAAATTGTCAAACCAACCATCCAACATCAAAATATTGTCAGTTTACTGATCGCTAAAGCAAAAAAAAAAAAAAAAACGAAACCGAAATTAACAGCCAGAAAATGTTTGTTTAAAGACTAACACAACTTTTCAATTGTAAAAGATAGCAGTGAATTTTCTTTTGCACATTAAATATTCAATGTATAACCTCATTTAACACCTCTGGAGTTTTTTGTGCTGAGACTTGAGGTTTATACATCACAACTAGAGATGGGGATTCCTGGGCAAGTCAGGGAAATACAATAAAAAATCCATATTTCTCAAAATATAGATATTCAGCACCAGTGATTCAGTAGCTGTACCACACAAGACAGGAGGAAAATATATTGCTTTCCTTCCCAGGATTGCTTTAAAAAAAATCAGTGTAGTTGACTTTCTGTTTTCTGCCAAACTCACATTGATCAAATGTGATTGAACTGCATATTAAAGAAGTTCATTTAAGGTCCCTGACCCACACAGAAACCTAATATATTAAAACCACATGATGTCACACAAACTAACCCTAACCCAACCCTAACCACCCCCGCGTACACTGGACTTCTGAACTGATCCAGACTTCACCCTGAAAAGCTGCGTATGAGAACGCAAAAGTGTTTAAAACACTCTGACAGCCTCCTCGTACAGTCAGTACAGTCTAATGTCCAGAGCTCATATGTGAATATGGCTTCAGATGGCCATCTTCTAAATGTGACTCAAACACATCTGGTGTAATATCAGTATAATATTAGAATATTAGTGTGTTGCCATAATGAGCAGTGAGCATTGGGGAGAGTCGTCTATGTGAAACCAGCTGGGAGCAGGGGTGGCTGCACCCTGAATGTGAATTCATTTTTTAAATATCTGAAGGAGGTGCGTTCAAGAAAAGTTGCAATTTAACACAAGCTGTCCTCTTTCACATCTGCAACATCCTGCAACAAAAACTAACACAGACTGGGATGGACTGTCTAAAGCAGCTATTGAAGGAAATCAATCAAAAACCTGATTGAGGACAGATGAGATTTATTGAATGATATTTTAAAAACACACCAGTTGAAGCCTGATGAGGGCTATTATGAACGGAATTGTCTGGATAATGTGTGTTTGTATGTTACGGCAAAAAAAAAGTTTAATTAATTTAAAGATTACACCAATTAACAACAAAATATATTATCTGCAGATATTTGCCTAATCCTGTTTTGGGCCGATTGACATATAAGTCAGTATGGTAGGATATATCACCCATGATAACAATAATATCACGATTCAGCGATTTTGTGACGCAGTGAGTCAAATTTTAGAGGAATCTGTTTGGAGCCCTACATTTTAAGTCTTTTGCAATGGATATGATATATTCCTGTATCCATGTTCATCCCACACCTAAACACAGTTCTTGGGGAGATTTGAGTTTGGGAGGATTTTTCTTAGACGGCTTCATTCCTGAGCAGCGGGGAGGAAGAAGAGGATGAAGGTATGTGAACAGCTGACAGCCTCAGCTGCTTGTTACCGCGATGTTCTGCCTCTTCACTTTTTCTTCATCACATGTCGTAGCTGCTGAACCTCCTCACGACTCATCCAACAACACACCATGCCGCTTCCTCTCAGCTCATCTCGGCTCAGCTGGCTGCAGGCACACAATCCTTTTGATCACTTGGGGTTGACGTTAGCCAACAGTGACGAGTGGAGACGAACGGACGGCGGGCCAGAGGCCTGTTGGGGGGTTAGCGGGGGTGCTGTTGGGGGTCAGGCTGGTGAAGTTTTACAGTTGGCCGGTGCAGAGGAGTCATGAGGAAGTGAGTGTGTTCACGGTACACTGGGCTCAGGAGGAATTCAGATGCTGCAGGGCGGCACACTGATTCCTGGGGCCTAGTTTGCTCTCAGACTGAATGCAGGATTACAGTCAGACACAGTGTTCGACCTCGTACAGTAGTGAGATGTGTCAGTACTGCGTTATGGAAAAACAATGTCTACACATATTCAATTATATATATCAGTTAATGGAAAAAGTAATAGTTAAAATGAGTTTATTATGGAAACAATGTGTGTATTTAATGAAATATGTTATGAAAGAGTAACTTTTAATCTTTTAAAGTTGTACTTCTTATTAACTGGCTGTTGTTTTTGAGACACTGACAAGTTTAAATTGATTTGATTGATATTTTTAGAATTTGAAAAATAAAGTTTATTTTATTTTCATGTATGAAATGAAAGGTTTTAAAGGTAAAGGTGTAACAGAGCTGTTGTGCAGATACATCACTAGAGTGTACTATTGTGACAGTCTTGGCTGATGCAGCCTTTTTATTGACTGTATTCATGATGTTACACAGGACCACAAAGGTCTCACGCGGGAGAGACCCTGTCAGTGATGCGCTCTCACAAATGTGCCTTATAGTAACCTCAGATACAAAGGACAGCCATCACAACTTTCCTATCATGTCTGATGTTCTTCAGTGTTTCGGGTACTGCATGCTTGTTTTACTCTTAAGGCAAAGTTAAAGAGAAAAACTATTTTCAGATGTTTATGTAGAGTTTAATCCTAAAAGTTTAAATTAATTAAACCCCATTATGACGTTTTCTTTGTTGTCAAAGATCACAAAAAATGTATTGACAACTTGAATTTAGTGGGTTAAACAAAAAAAGGAGGCTGGGTAGTTCTAATCATTCTGGTGAATATAATCATGGCAGTAAAAAAATATTGTGCTATTAATTCCAAAAATGTTTATTACTATCAAAACCTGGCAGCTAAATACTAAACATGTACCTCTGCTGAAGACATCTTTCTCTGCAGTTGGTTATTTTATGCTAGTTGTGGCGAATGTATCCTGGAGCAATTTGGACTATTCATATGTGGATGCCCACCAGAGTCGAATACATGTCACATTTAAAAGCAATGTGAAAAGCCAAACAAAGAAATCTGATCTTAGCAGAGAATCAGAATTGAGCATTTAGGCTTGAAGTGTGATCGCAGCCTAAGTCTCTGTGGCTGTAAGCTTCAGTTAAATGCTATAATGACTGTTTCCTTGTCAGCCTCAGCCTGTCATTTCAGCAGCCCCGCCCCTCAGGGTTAATGAGTCAGCCTTCATTTCTACCATCAACTCTGGTAATTATCACTCTCATGCACATACACACACTGTCTCAGCTTCTTTTGTTGCGGCTGGTAGAGGAACACAATACACACCTCCCCACCTCCTCTCGGAAAAGACGATGAGTCATGAACGAGTGTGATGTGCAGTCTGGGAGGTGCTGCAGGCTGATCAGCCTCTGGAGCTGCACACGCTCATTACAGGCTCACAAGGATACGGAGGAGTGATCAGACTGGTAGTTATGCGTGAGTGTGAGATAGATGTTGGAGTCGTCTGTCTGACTGCGGCTCACCAGACAGAGGACTGACTAGCTCAAAGGCAATGTGGTGGAACTGCAGTTTAAAGAGCTTTGTGGGGCTCCAAGCATCGGTCTGCAGAACAAGCATGCTGACAGTGATGTCAGTTTATCAGAGAATCAATGTAATTACTCACAAAAATGCCTTCTAACACACAGTGTGATTTTAAGGACCATTAGTGCATGTTATGTACGTCAGGAGTTAGCAGTCATGCCATTAGCTCTTTGATGTGAACTTTTGCAAAGCGTTACACTGAGCTTAATGCTAATGTCAGCATGCTAACATGTTTATGTCTAGCAGTGTAAATGTTTACAACTCCCCCTTATTCTGGTCTGTTTTTGTTTGTGCTACTCCCTCAAATGTGATGACTGGAGTCAGCTGTTTAGAAACTCCTTAAAGATCACTTCCCTCGGCTTCCCTCTGCATTGACACTGGCTAAGCAGGGAATTAAAATACATTTATTTGTCATTTTTGTAAATGTCATGTATTAAAGAAAAGCTTGTGAAACACTAAAGCAGAGCAGCTGGGACTAAACCTACTGGGTGAGCATACAATGACTGAGTTACTGACTGAGAAGAATCTTTTAGGTAACAAAGGTAGGGACTAAGGCCTCCCCAAAAAAAGTTAGATTTTCGTTTCATCAGTCGAGACGAACCTTAATAAACTATCAACAGCCCTATTTTTATTACGAATCTGCAACAGCGGCGTGACAAAGTGAAACCGTCGATACACTCCGCCATTTAACAGTGATCCTGTCCTGCCCTTTAACGTCTCAGTTACTACCTTTCACGCGGACTTGGCGGATGGACGACAAGTGACATGTCTCTGGGATGATGTTTACAATGAAAGCCAGATGTGACATGGGGGGAGGGGAGGGGGGGAGGGGGGGGGGTAAATGATTAGGGCTGGGTATTTGTAAGAACATGACAACACGATACATATCACGATGGGATGTGCATAATGACACTTTGCAATACTCAACATAATTTACTGAAAATGTAAAAGAGGAGCCAAGAACATGTTATGCATTAACACATTACTGTGCCGTGATGTTGAATCAAAACAATGTCGTATAGAATTTCAGTTTCCACAATACCAGAATTTAAAACATTTAAATCAAACAATATTAAAACCTGTTTTGATACCAAACAGCAACAAAAGGCCTTGGTCACCTACAACTGTGAACTTTCTTTCATTTTTAGGAGCTGAGACTTGTATGGTGAAACGGTACTCTGTGAGAGGTCAGGTCGTGTAAACTGTACAAAACTTACTACAGAGGTCAAAGGTCAGAGAGACAGATACTGCGACTGTATGAAAGTGGAATACTGACAGTGTGTGTTTGGATGTATGTGTGTTACCTGCAGGGCACTGTTCAAGAAGCAGCTGTTCTGTCCCGGCTCGTTGCTCAGCCCTTTACTGGGAGCGATGGAAGTCATGGTGCGAGGCTTCATCGTCCCAACACCACCAACGCCACTGCTGCCACCACCAGCTCCGCTCCCAACGCCACCGGACGCAAAGTAGTTCCTCTTCCACGACATCACTCCTCCTCTCTCTTTCTCTCTCTCTTCCGTTGGGTCTCTCAGCCTCGCTCCCTCCAGGAGTCAACTTCCTGCGGTCCGTTCTCGTATCGAAAGAGACAGAGCCATATCCTCCAGACGAGAGGAGGATGAAGAAAACTCTCAAAACAAGTGTTGTTGCCCAAAAAGATTAAGGCCCAGAATAAGAAAATAAGTCTTCAATTGAAACTTTAACGGTTTAACGATCTTCAGCTTGTTATGATCTCTAGGTTCCACATATCTGAACAGTAAAAATTGGGTTCACATATTCCAAAATATCCCCGATTAGTGGGCTGCCATAGCTCTAGAAAGGTCAAAAGGTTTTAAGACCTAAGATAATAACACAAATGACCGTAGTTTAAAGATTGAAAAAGCTTTATGGTGAAAATGTTTAGGAATTCAAATAGTTATCTGGTTTTTTTTTTCAAGGAATAATCCTTCCTGCATCCATATGGTGCAGGTGTGATGACCTCTGCCCTCCTTTCACACTCCAACACGTGCAGCTGAGCCAAGTCTGCACCTCGTCCTCCTCTTCATCGACACCACCACTCAGCCTCAGTAAGAGAAGAGCAGTCCACAGCAGAGGTCCTGACACAGACGGGCCAGTGGGGGGGATGTACAGCTTTGAGGTCAAAGGTTAGAGCCTGGCAGAAAAGCTCCACTCAACAGTCAGTCAGGAGAGATCTGTAGGAGAAGAGGGGGAAAAAAAAAAACGTTTTGAGTGTTTTTTTTCTGTGTTAGTTTTTTTTAGTCACACCATCTTATGCACAGGAAATGTTCAGAAGAGATGTTCTGGTGGGTTTCATTTGGCAAACAACAACAACTCATCAACATCTAACACCACACTGGACTATTTAACACCTTGTTCTACATTCACAATGGTCAAAGAATTAGGGAGACAACATATTTGAATTTGACTCGTGAAATATTTTTAAATTTACTGAGTATCACATTTCCTTAGCACTTTCAAGTCGTACCCATCAATTTTCCTACTGATATATTTTATCAATCAACATGACCAGGATCTGAGGGAGCTCAAACAGACATGTAAACAACACCAAAGAACAACTTCAACCACAGAAAATACTACAAATATTGTGGTAATAGCTTTGTTTCTCTTTAATTCCTGGTGTCCTCCTCTATAGGAGGGATGAGAGGCCTTTATCAACTCCCAGGGCCTGCCTCATAGTAATCCTTGCATGTCTGGACCCAGGCAGTAGTAGAAACATGACGGGTGGATTAAACATTTAAGAGAAAATCATTCAAATTGTTCATTTAAGTTTTTACCAAAATGGACTCTCTGCCATTCTGTCTGAGTTTAGGAGCTCATTTGAAAAGCTATTACAGACTTTCTGTGGGACTAAATTCAAAGCCTCTTTTGACTTGCAGAGGTTATGATAAAGCAGGGCCTCAATTTTATCACGGAATATCAGGAATTGTGAACACGATATTTGATTCCAACAAGTCAGGCAGTAATAATGCAGGAAATTCCTGGATACATTCACAATGATTTTTAATATGCCACATAGTATGTCATAGTATGTCACATAGAAGAGTCCAAATCTGAACAGCAAGTTAGGGAAATGTATTTATCAGAAGATTGTTCCCGTTGTGTCTAATTTGTTAAAGATATGATGTGTGGAATTGAGAGTAATGTAGCTGGAGTGATAATTTCACTGAGTATACCAAAATGTAAAGCTACAGGCAGAAACTTTACTACTATGTTGAGTCTGTCAACCCCTCTAAACTAAATGCTTTGCCTTTTCATGTGTCTGATCTTGTCGACCTTTACACTCATAAGAAGTGTTCTCAACCATAAAGAAAGTCATCCTGCTGTCTTTTTTCAATTATACTGCTTACTCTGAATCTATCTGTGGAAATGGAAACAATGGCTCTTCCTTCCTGCATGCAGTTAAATCCTTCGTCTGACAATGACCTGTTCCCAACAATGGCAAGCATTCAAATGAATCGACAGAAATAATCAATTATTTCCTTGATGGTCTGGTTTCCTTGTGTAGGTCATATAAGAGGCTGTTTATGTGAACAAATAACCCCAGCCCCACCCAACAAATAAAAAAAATGTGAATCCCTCCTATGTCAAGAATTGATTTTGAAATTAATTTCAGGCCCTGATAAAGAGCTCTGATTCCAGCTGTGCAGGTGATCAGTAGTGAGAGTTACACTGTAGCCGTGATGTTTATCTGTGGCTGGGAATCAAAATAAACAAGAAAAACATGATCAAAAAATGGTTTTGTCATTGGATTTTGAGCGAAGTTGTGAAAGAAGAATCAGAATCACCAGAGAAGAAATGTGAAGCCTGAATTCCAGACAGGCGGAGCAGATAATGAACAGTTCTCAGAAAAAGCAGGACACATAATAACTGCATTTAAGGCCTTAAATCTCCTCAAGACCTCATTCTGAGATAATTTCAGGCCTCTGCACGCAGTGGAAGGATTCAGGCAAACACACGACTGCAGTCACAACAGAAGACGGAAGCATACACAGCCTGTCTCACTCTCCTCTCATTCTGTGTCTACCTCGACCACTCAGTGTTTCTATCATCCTGACTGTCTACGTGTCCTGATAAACCTCTCAAGACTTTTTCTGACAATACATTTAACACAAAATAATATCAGATTTTTTTTTATCTTTACACTGTAGATTAAAATAGACCTCTCTTAAAGACACAAAGACCCCAAACGCAATGCTAAATCTTTAAGCCTCTTAAATGGCAATTTCCATCATGTGTCAGCATCAAGCTAACAAATTCTAATTTTATTTTAATTATCCTGTCTCAATCCTGCAAGGCTTCCAGCAGCACAGAGGTGGGATCCCTTCGCCCCCCCCTTTAAGCCTCTGTGACATTCAAAGGGAGGGCGAGACGTCACAGAGGCGTTAATATCCTTGAACGAGCAGTCTGAATAGTACAAGAATCTCTCTCACACACACACACACACACACACACACACACACACACACACACACACACACACACACCACAACACACACACCACACACACACCACACCACACACACACACACACAACACACACACACACACACACACACACACACACACACACACACACACACACACACACACACACACTCTGTGGACAGCCTTTATCTGCCCTTCATCACTCTGAGCCTGACTCATGACCCAGGCTGTAACATTTAACTGTCCTCAGATCTGCAACATTTACATGAGACTTAAAACAGCAACCTGAAAGCAAACCTCACGCGTGTCAGAACTCCATGATGCTTAGCAAATGTTCAGAGACGTCAATCTATTTCTGCTTTTCCAAAAGCTGAGTTTAAAGCTTCAGAACTTGCTTTATTTAAACTCTGGATTTCGCCTCATTTTAGCTCCACAGTAAATAAGTAAGTATTCATAAATGAATGAACAGACTCCCACGAGTCAGGGAATAACTGAGAGAAACAGGAAGTAAGACAATGATGTCTTTTCTGTCTATGTCCTCATGTTATGTCTGTCTGTGTTTGTCCTGTGTCCCGTCTCCAGTGACAGGGAGGTAAAGTAGCAGTCAGAGCAGAGGGAGGTGACGAGGGATTAGCCTGATCAGACTGTGTCTGCCTTCACGGGATTAGACTGTCTGTGTGTGGGTGAGCGTGTGTGTGTTGAGCTCGAGGAATGATGAATGGTGGAAGGAGGTAAACACCACTCTGCTCTCAGAAGACGCGTCATCATCTTTTCATCTCTGATTCTCTTTATTCAAATCTTAATGCGCTTAGTTTGTTTATGTTTGCTTAGTCTCTGTGAGCCAATAAACAACAACAAATCAATCATTTACACTCAGTAACTTACACCAAAGAATCTCAGTGTAAGTGAAGGAGACCACAATTGGACTCACATTTTGTCAGTGGGATCTTTGCAAAGTTTCTCCTCCTATGAAAAACAAATGGGCCAAGGGATTAAAGGCCAAGCTGTAGCTTACTTTAGCTTTTTTTTTATAGAAAGTTGTCCAATGATTTAAATGTGTCGTCTAGTTACTTAAAACTGATCTTAGAAGTGGCGACATCAGAATGTAAGAAATGTAATCAAACCCGGGCTTAAGACCATCTCTGGTAAATGACGAGTGTATTCAACTTTGATAAGACACAAATCAAAACACATTTCAATGTTGTGGTACTCAGAGGAATTTGAGTGCAGGTTCTTCTGTGTTAATTCCTGCTACACATCCTGCGTGTATTCAGCCTTAAAGATATGTCAGAAAAACCAAAAGCTGTCATACTGGGTTAATAAAATCCTCTCAAAGTGCACACCGCTCATTTTCCAGGAACTGTGTCGAGCTTAACTCTGATGTCGTTGCAGCAAACTTGATGTTGAGCTGCGCCCTGTTTCATGACCTGTGAGCTCAGATCAGTGGTGGGATTTCTCTGATGGACAACTGCTACTGGCTTTCCATTTCAGCTGCGGATATCCTTTCCGTTTGTCTCTTTTTAGAAGACGTTTCATTTTATCGAGCAAGTCAAGCGTCAACTAAAATCTGGCTTACTACAGCAGTGTGAACCCAAAATAAAAGGATTTGTAGACAAATTCGTTTTTTTTTTTTTTTGTAAATGCCAATAAAGAAGAGACAAGGATGCTGAAATAAAATCATGATCCAGACTCAGAAAAGCTGACAAGCCTCTGGGAAATACAAAACGCAAACAACTTTTAAACTGCTTGTTTTTTTAAACTGAGTTTGGATCTGTTATTTCTGATGCAACGTCAGGACATAAGGAGATTGTCAGTGTAGATTGGCTTTAGTGACACAGCCTGATGTGACTTTCTCACTCAAGTTCAAAAGTGCAGTGAGGCCTTTTTTTTTTCATTGGTTGATTCTTGCTGTTAGCCTCAACCAGCATACATTTAGTTCAGCTCTTGTTTTGAATTGACTAAACATGTTTGATCATAAGCTCACCCTTGAAGCTCAACTAATATATCATTCCATATCATTTGAAAGAATTTAAATTCCCTCGTCACTCCTGCTAGTTCAGCACTCAGGGGGAATACATGAACTTCTGTGTGTTTCTAACTGCAGCTGGGGGCAGATTCTACAACATATTGTCCTTTTACGACACTAGATAGTTATTTGGTCATAACTTAATATCAGTGCAGGAAAAGAAGAACTGTGTTCACAACATCACTGATGCATGGTTCACGCCTGTAACACTTGCTATCGTTGAGTTAAAAGCGCTTTATTCATTTTTTCTTAGCCTCCGAGGGAAAACGTGTTTGTATTTCAATGAACTGTGATGTGAGAAGCTTACAGCTTAATGGAGACAAAACGTCTGGCTGACATTTATGAAGCATGGAGAAGCTGTTTCTACCCGCTATCTCATCTCAGCAGAGAGGAGGGAAAATGGTCCCTCTAAAGCTGCTCCTGCTGAAAGATTACAGCTTATTATATCCCACAGAAACACAGGGTCCCGGGGTCGGACAAAATACCAGTGAAATGTTAATTAAAAGGAAAAGAAGTGTCAAATGAAGAACAAGTGAGAGGCAGTTTGAGGGTTTATGGAGCCTGTAGGATTAGCGAAATGGACCTTTGATAAAACTCTGGTGACATTCAAACTCAAAATGACGGCTTAAAACACAAACATGACTGGTGTCACCGTTTACTGCTAAAGAAACGAGAATATGAAATTATCAGAAAACTGAAAATCAACCTGAAAATGATTCT